ATGGAGCTGATCGCCTTCAGATCATCTGCATGTCGGGCAGCTGGATCTGTGTTCTTAGATTCCTCCAAGTTCCAGATGATAATACTGTAACTAGAGTCCGTGGGTTTCTGAGTTTTGCTGGTACTAACAGTCGTCGAGACCTTGTTGGTAAACTCGGCTACTGTTTCTTTCCTAGTTTTGTTTTGCTTCTTACCTTTCGGCAGCAACCAAGTGGAGTCGGTTTCTCCTACTCTGTTTTCGCCGCGACTAGAAGCAATTCGTGCACTAGACACGCTGCGCTTTGGCGTTGCTATTTCACAGGCTGGTTTTGCCATGCTGGCACTACTTGCCCTTCTGGATTTCCGTTGCCTTTTGCGCTTTGCAGCAACAGATGTTTGGGCATTTTGTGCTTCTTTCGCTTCTGGGACTTCAGGAGGTGATGCATCCTGAGTCTTACAACTATGTCCTGAATCGCCATCCTTGGCTAGGGTTTCTGGTACAGGCTTTTCAACTATGTCTTTCGACAATTTCTTGGACATCAAGAGTCCTACTGCCTCTTGGATGAGGACATCTAACGGGTTGCTGCAAAATTTGCACAGCCATGGAGATGATGGCTTGCAACATCTCTTATAGGCTACTGGTGTTAAACCAATGCAAACTTTGTGGAACCAAAGGCTGCAGTTGTCACACTGAATCCCATCATCCACCGGAAAGTGGCAGTCCGGTCGTCCACAATTGTTAATTGGGGCCATAATTTTAATTTGTTTCAACTATACAGTTATATATACGTGAAAACAGTGAGGTTAATACCAAGCAAATACACGGTTATTTATACGTGTGACAGCGAGGTAAATACCAACCAAAACACAAAATCAATTCAATCATTTTATTCGAAATCAGAACCGTGAAAGAGCTCATAGGAAGTTCTCATCTGAAGTGAAGGCCGTCAACAGTATTCTCAAGCGATCCTCTCATAAGCAAATACTCAGTTGATTAAGTGCACGTGTATGAATTATCTGCAAAAGTTGTGGATGTTATCAACAGGGAAATCATAACCTTGGGAATCTACGTATGACGTTCCTAACATCACTAACTTATTATGGCAAAAAACGCTGAGGGTAACTTTAGGGTAGATAAAAATAAGAATTTTAAGTAGGTTCGGGGGCCAGTATTAAGATGTCGGTTATGAATACCGATGACGTGACTAGCCTCATTGACAAAACAGAACATGTCCCCGATGCAACCTTGCCAATAAGTGAGTGCTCTACAGCACAGAAGAACATCCACCACATTCCAGACTCCCAGGTCGCCCCCACGATACTGGATAAGCCCTCCAGTGACAGTAATGGAAAGACTGCCGCGAAGAAGAGGCGTACCAGGGGTCGAAAACCTGCAGCTCCAGTCGCCCAGGGACTGGCGGAACAAGCCTCATCCACACCGGTGAGCAGCAGACAGACAAACCCCATTACGATTAGCGAGGAGGACGCCAATGAATGGCGCACCGTAGTCTCTCGCAAAAAGCGAGATAAGGATAACACTTCGGCCACACCGCCCAAGAAGGATAGAAACACACTTACGCCTCAGGGCAAGAAAGTCACGGAAAGCAAACCCGATCTCTCTGACAGGTCTCTCATTCTCCACAAAGTGGAGGAGTCACTGGCCCTCGACCCTAAGACCAGATTCGAGCATGACCTTAACTTGGTCAAGCCCCTTTTAGACAAGCTACTGCCACAAACAGTATCAGGCATTACTATACACAGCGTATACAGAATAGGTCAAAAGCCTGACCCTACAGTAAGTGAACCTGTACGTCTCCTCAAAGTCGTACTAAACTCTAAAGCGGAGAGGGATGCTATTCTAAGCAACTCTCATATTCTCAAAGGATCAGGGATATATGTCCGCGCTGACTTAAGCCTAGCAGACCGTGTCAAAAGACAGGCTGCGGCACTAGAATTAAGTGAGCGACGCCGGAACGGTGAAAAGAACCTTAAGATTAAGGGTTTTCGGGTTGTCCGAGTTCGCAGTTTAATGATCCCGAAACCTCTGTGGGTGGGCCGGGGAAGCACCAATCTGAATTAACAGTCTGCTACACAAACGCCCGCAGCCTGTTAAATAAAAGGACTGAGCTGGCAAACATGATAGAAACCGGAAACCCGGATGTAATTATTATCACAGAGACATGGCTCACACCCGATGTCACTGACAACGAAGTTAACCTGCCAAACTTCGAAGTGCACAGGGTAGACCGACTAAACCGCAAAGGAGGGGGCGTAGTCATCTACCTCAAGAAAGGCTTAACCGTGCGTAGTATCGAAGCACTCGCCCACGAAAGTGAGTCGTGCGAACTTCTACGCTGCAGACTTAAATGCATAGGCCAAGACATTGACCTCATTGCTGTGTACCGCAGTCCTGACTGCAGTGCAGACGACTTCCTAATAGAGAAGCTAGGCTCCTGGACTTCAAAATGTCGAAGTCTCGTAGTCGGTGACTTCAACGCCCCAACAGTTGACTGGTCGAGCCTAACAACTCCATCTTCAGTCAACTCCTTTGATTATAAACTGCTAGAATCTAGTATATCGCTAGCCCTAGTCCAACATATCATTAAGCCCACGCGCTATGACTCACAGCACTCCTCGTCAACTCTGGACCTAGTGTTCTCACACGGTGAGGATGTGGATCTCATACAACATCTTCCTCCGTTAGGAAGAAGTGACCATGCTGTGCTCACTTTCAAGTTCACAGCAACGGCAGCAAGGGCCAAAACCCCAGCTCGACCAAACGTTTGGAAAGCTGACATAAATGCGATCGTCTCAGCAGCCAACTCAGTAAACTGGTACATCAATCCAGAGTCCCAAGTAGAAGCCGCATGGAACCAATTTAAGCAACTTTACGCCCAAGTAACTGTACCTTTCATCCCTTGGTCTGTTCCAAAGGGTCGGAAACATTCCCCCCCTTGGATAAACCGGGAGATTCGTAAGTTACTCAGACGTAAACGCAAATGTTGGAACCTGTTTGCAACACTTGAGACTTCTGAGACCAGGGAATTATATACTACTGCTAGAAATAAAGCTATCGCAGAAATCCGCCAATCAAGGATGAAGTTCGAGACACACCTGGCCCAAAATGCAAAGGCACAACCTAAGAAAATTTTCTCGTACTTGAATTTCAGGAATAAAACACCCAATGGTGTCCCAAACCTGATTATTGACAAAGATACAATCGAAGAAGATCAAGAAAAAGCAGAAGCAATGGCAAACTACTTCTCCCAAGTCTTCACTCAGGAGTCATCACTGCCTATAGGATCAGCTCTGGCTGCATCAGAAGAACATGGGATAGATTCCGTTGACATCGACCAAGGCATCGTGCTCAACTTCTTAATGAAACTAGATGCAGGGAAATCAATGGGTCCTGACAGTCTTCATCCAAGGCTTCTCAAGGAGCTATCAGCCCACATAGCCGGCCCCTTGACCACGATCTTCAAGCTATCTCTCCTAAATGGAGTGTTGCCACGTGATTGGAAAGACGCCATAGTAACCCCCATACACAAAGGAGGATCAAGACAAAGCCCTTCAAATTACAGGCCTATCAGTCTCACCAGCACTTTAATCAAGACACTGGAAAGAATTATCAAGAAAAGCATCATGGCTTATCTGGAAAATAGCAGCTTGTTATCTGGAGCACAGCATGGCTTCCGGAGGAACCTCTCATGCCTGTCAAATCTCCTGACTGCAAGAGAAAGCTGGGTCAAATCAAAGGACAACAGAAGACCCGTTGACGTCGTCTTCATAGACTTCAGTAAAGCCTTTGATAAAGTACCTCACAAAAGACTACTCATGAAATTGGAAAGTCTTGGTATCAAAGGCAGACTACTAGACTGGCTCAGGGAATTCCTCATAGATAGGAGGCAGAGGGTTAGGATCAACTCAAAACTCTCCTCCTGGACAGCAGTAAGTAGCGGAGTGCCACAAGGCACGGTTCTCGGTCCTCTCCTTTTTATTCTGTATATCAATGAGTTACCTCTGCTCACCGACTCCCCTATGGTCCTATACGCAGATGACTTAAAAATTTGGAGAGAGCTGAAGGGCAACAGTGATACGTTCACGTTGCAAGAGGACCTCAACAAATTGTCGGAGTGGTCTGTTGAATGGATGCTCCCGATCAATGTGGCAAAATGTGCAACCATGCGCATTGGACAATCAAGCACAAGCCCCTACGAATTAGAGGGAATAACACTTCCATCAGTTCAGACTCACTTGGACTTATTTGATATCGGTAGCCCAAATTTAAAAACTGCAGCACACTGTCGCGCGGTGGCTGCACGTAGTTTCAGGTCCTTATGGGCGATTCGCAGAGGTATGTTCACCTCCTTATATACATCTCGGGGTTGGGTCAAGACTGGAAAACTGCATCCAGGCCACCAGTCCGTGTCTAAAAGGGGATTCACACATTCTAGAAAGTGTTCAAAGGAAGGCGACACGTATGGTTCACGGCATAGCTAACTCATCATACGAGGAAAGACTAGATAGTTTAAATCTCTTCTCACTGTCATACCGTAGGCAGAGGGGATATTTAATCACAATGTTTAAAATTTTAAATCATGACTACGGACCTGACTTTCCCATCAGGTCGGAACACCTTAGAGGACACAGCAGGAAAGTTCAAAAGCCAAGGAGAAATCATATTGCCGTTGAGTACTTGTTCTCACATCGAGTCATAAACTCTTGGAACCGACTCCCAAAAGAAGTGGTGCCTGCAACCTCAACTGGTTCGTTCAAGAAGGGTTTGGACAACCACAGAAATCTACTAGAAAAGGATTAACATGGGCTGCAAGCCTTCTATCCTCAACCAATAAATCTGATATCTAAATCTGAAATTACTGAAATTATGATTCCTCGAATCCCCAAAATTACTTTATAGGTATTTAGATCACTTATCCCGTGATAATACTAATTCCAAAGAAATGCAACATGTCACAGAATTGCCAAGAAGATATAAAATTTACTGCGTTACATGGAACTTACTAATTTACTGCTTGCATTGAAACGCATGACAGAAGGATCATTTTTCGAAAACGTCTAACCAAAGGGAAGCATTAGTAAAAAACTTATCAAACCTGACCAGTGTGAGTAACCTCTTGAGCACTATCAAAGCTACTGAAAGCTCGTCGAAGATAAAGAGACAGATAACGCAACGCACCGCTCTTCGTTAGAGCCATTTCTCCGGGCGGCCTTGAATATCAAGGTCAACTAGCTGGTGGGCTTCAACCGTGAAACAGTTTGATTCAACATCCAATTAACCAGTGTATGATATTCAAGTGTGAAGAATCAATAAGGGATCATTTCAGTGAACTCTAGTAGAAATGAATTTTCTATGAATTTCATGATTTCATTTAATTTCAGATGCTTACTTGCTCATTTACATATACAAAAAAGCTTATTATGATAATGATCATTATTACCTATTTGAATTGTGAAAAAAACACGAACTCAGGAAGTAAAAATTTGTTGATCGCCCTCAAAAAATTCGGCCTTTCTAAGATATCATTTCATAGGTGATGCGAATAGTGGGATCTTACCACAGTCCCTGGGAAAGGTATACAAAAAACTTTCAACACAGCTAAGCTATACAATTGGTGGATGGTGGCTAGCAGTGGAATCCAGGATGCGCATTCCGTCCTATTTGGGACTCGTCAGCTGGATGTACCTGCATTTCTCAGTGAGTGATGATGTTCCCACCGAGGTTCGAACCCAGTGCCCACAGCTAAGCTATGCTGTATGTTCATTGGCCGATTGATTATTAGTTGAAGCAATTAAGACAGACTGTTCTTTTTCGCCTCTTCCATGTGTATACCCGTGAGAAGCTAGTTACATAGGGCGTGCGACCAGGCAAGTTCATCGTCGAATTTATGAAAGCCTCACATCTTGGTTTGGCAAAAGTCTGAATAAAGCTATGCGCAGCTCATTACTAGCTCGTCTCGTCGGTTTGGGACATCCACCCGATTCTAAGAAAGCTTTTAAAGGTAATCATTTTATATTACGCAACCCGTTGCACGGTCTTCGAGTACGGCAATCAGAATTCATCTGAACAAGCCTAATCTTTGTGTTCGAAGGAATTTGTGCAGCCTTTTTCTTATAAAATGTATCAAGTTTTTATAAATTATTTTTTCCTCCCTTTGGTAGCTATCTTTCGGGATTGTTAATTTCTATAATTTCATCTAATTCTATTATTCTGTTTGTATTTTATTTAACTCTTCTGAGACATCTTATTCTTCTTAGACATCATCGCTAATTTACAAATATCCTGATTATGTAATGACTTGTTACTAACGATTAAGAATCACCTAATCTTGAATTCTGTAGTTGATTGATTATCGCCCCTCTTCAAGGAGCTGGGTATCTTATTACCAAAATCTATTTGTTAATTGATTTGAAGACCTTTTAACTAAAGATAAAATAGCCACTTGATTGGTAAGACATTTTGAGTAAAAAGCTACTTATTAGTGTAGAGTTAGCCGATAATGAAAAACTAAGAGTTGTTCTTCTGAATTTTGTGATTGTCAATACAGTTACCATCAACCCTTGTGTCCCGAATTAGGACGATATAGCAGTGCAGTACTCCCTGATTTTCAATGGTTCTGTAATTGACACCATTTCGTTGCCAAGCTCGAAAAGATGTCATCATATTAATACAGATTTTATGAAAAAATTGTGAAGAATTCGTGAGTCCATGGTAAAATTGAACCAGTCACATGCTCACGTAGTGGTGAGGCCAAGTAGCCCCAAGTAAGTACTGGGTGACTGTGTTCAGTCTTTTCTTCAGGAGCGTGCGAAGATCATTTCTTGTTGTTGTGTGGAATAGACTGCTGTCGTCTAAGGATAAAGTTTGTGTGCTTGTGAAGTCCCAACACACACGAAATATCATTTTTAAGCTGACTATTATCCCGTTTGCACAAGACTGTTTGTAAATTAGGTAAGTCTTCCTTCCACTTAATAGCCTTCCATAACCTCACTAGTTATCACTATGACTGGACTATCCAAGTTGCCTTTGAGAGATAATTCGTGAAAGTTCAGAATATCTGCTCCAAAAGGGCTCCCACAGGATGAGAATTCTCCATTTATTTTCCTACAGAATACCCGGTTTTTCAGTTATGCTTCAGTAAATAACATCTTTTGACTGTCAAGTTAGAGACGCTCCTGATTAGAACGACAGTGGCAACCACTACAATCGCTGCAACCGTCATCAAGCAAAATACACGTCATGTCATACGCACGCGTTTTTATATTACCTCAGGAAGTTAAGATGTCGATAAGTAAACAATTGTAAATAGTCGTGTGACCTCAGAAAATTAAGCCATAAATAAACGAATCTTAAATACCCAATAAGGTTATCATCCCAGGACATGCATATATCATGATTTAAAGACTAACCATTAGCTTATCCAACATAACACAAAGGAAGACAAGCACTCACAGACTAGACCAAAGCCCGACGTTAGTTTATCAAATAGTGTGATCCTTTTAAACAAACCGGCGTTTGATCAGGAACAGCCTTCTAATTTGTGATGCAAAGTGGGGACTAACAGTTTGCTAGTAAATCTGTGTCGATTGTGCAAGGTTTTTCAGAGACTTCATGGCAAACTTCGCCTAATTAGTGCAACACAGATCTTTGAGGATGTTCAGAATATTATAATGCTTTCCCGAACCCCAGATGTATAAATACTTCCACTACACGAATGATATCTGATAGACAAAGGGCAGACAGGCGAATAGCTAGACGTTTACCAAAACTATCGTTCTTCACCTCCATAGTCACACCTGATGTCCTGGAGTTGGTGACCGGAGCCATATGCGAGAAACACATACAGGATATAAAGCAGTGGAGATGGCTGCTATTTCACTTTGCCATGGGTGTTTTGGGGCTGTTTCTATTTGTGGGCTACCTAATGCCACCAACCTCACCTCGATCAGCTCATCACAGCTACTAGCTGTCAAACATAGCTACTAGGAGCAGGCGACTAAAGGGCTCCTATAGTGGTGTGAGACCAGGGATTAGGTTAGCAGATATGTTCCAACATCGGGGTATAATGAAGCAGCAAACTGGGGTTGCAGTGCGTTATCATTCCTCAGTTACGCTATGGCGGTGCAACACTGAGGGGGACAGCCAACATCATTTAAGTGTCTTAACTAAACCTATGTAAAACGTCGATGGCAAGTCAGTTCCAGTGAAGCCAGCAACCCCAGCCGTGTCGGCGGTTCCATATAAGGGTTGTTAGTGAGACTCACTGCTAGCTGGCTATATAGCAGCGTGAGTGCGTTGTGAGGAGGGGTTGCTCGACACGTAACCTGCAATCACAACTGGACCTCAAAGCGGTAATGCTGATAGAAACCTAAGGGACCTATATCATTGCCGACAGTGGAGTCAGTATAAGCGATATGGCCTTTTTCAGGAGAGAATGGGATAACAAGGAAGGCTGCGGAGTTGAGACATCCGATGACAATCAACTTAGACGCGTAGCAGCAACGAATCAACCATTTGTATTTCCTGTAAACTTACTTGTTTATACGAAATATAAGTCATTAATATCACTGAAGAACGGGATTCTGCATGGTGAATTCTCAACGTAGATCCCACCAAGCATATATTGGATAGCATCTGGTGACCATCCTTCTGTGGAGCGAAACGCGACTAGTTACTATTCAATCTCATCACAGATATGCATGTCTTTGGCTATGACCTAATCATCATAGCTGAGGATTTCAGTGCCCCATACCCTAGCCTTGGGTCGAGGTGGGCTAAAGGAAAATTTGGTTGGAGTTTGCAACACATTGCAGAAAATGTTGGATCTATTCAAAATGTTGCAGACGACACTAGATGGAGCTCTAGTGGAAAGTCATGGAAATTGGATTATATTCAAACTATTGAACAGTTACTAGTCGAAAGCGTTCAAATAATAGTCCCTCTACTATGAAGTCATAGTATTCGGTCTATGCATTTGCGAGCGCTTACAGAGGGATGCTATGTGACCTTCATGTGCTTCACCTAAGCTGGCTACACCGAAGTGTGAAGACTTGTTTGACGCAGAATGACTCAAATACTGGACTGAGTTATCAGTAGGGTAGCGCTGGGAGACAGTAAAAGAGGTCATTCACATAGCAATTTCGGATGCCGCCCATCTGGTCACGGTACAACCTAAGAAGACATCCTCATATCTGAGGAGAAGCGTGCAAAATATTCTGCGAGCAAAGCGGAAAGTACGATTCACTTGGAGAATCTCCAATATTCAGAATGCACGTGAGGGATACCTGGGATTTGGGAAGGGGTGTAGCACAAGAGTTATTTCGGACAGAAAGTGCCAAGGAACTCAGAGCGAAACCTCGAAGGTATGAAACTGGTTCATGCTGGAAGAAAACCCGCCGACCGGGGGGCATGCGGCACAAGAGATTCAACAAGATTCAATGTCTTGTTAATTTGTGGATAACTGAAAAATTTAGTTAGGCATTCAACGGATAACAAAAGAGCATTGTTGGTTATACCATTGTAAGCCAAAGGGATTGTACTACTAGTTCATCAGAAGGAGACTCAGTGGGTACGCTCGAAATAGACTCTTCAGTCGTCCTAGCAAAGTCGCAAAATCTCATTTTTGGAAGACACCCAGGTTGTGACGAAATTCGGCCATTTGATATGAAACATCTTCATTCAGATCGTTGCGTGATCTGTGCAAACCTCCCATGGATTTTAAGGAAGTTGCCGGAAAGAGAGCGCTATGCTCTCACTTTTATCTTCAAGGGTGGGGATCGGAACAACGACAAAAATCAATGAATTAAAGACTAGTAGCGCCATCCCCAGTGATATCGAGGGTAGTGTAAAGTCTGGATGATAATCGCACCAGGCAGTACTTTGAGGGGACTTACATACTCCGTGAAGCACAGCATGATTTTAGAAGAGGTGGACAGTTTACGACAAATGATTTAGGTGATCGGACATCGAGCTGAGATGTGAATATTCCAGCCAATGTTACTTTCCTCGGCTATGTGAAGGGATTTGACAGCGTTCAGCCGAATCTTATCTTTCAAAGAATGGGTCACTCGGGTATTGCTGGTCCGCTTCTATTATGGTTGGAGGACGAGCCAGGCAGAAGTGAGTTCTGCACCAAGGTCACTCGAGTCCGATCACACTGGTTGTAGGGGACTAATATTAGAGTTCACTAACATTCCAAATATAAAAGTAATAATCCAAGTCAGTGGAGTGTTAAATCACAATATATTACCAAAAATACAGTGACGAGTTATAGCAACAAAAAGGATTACTTGGTTATAAAGTATAAGTCCTCGGCTACAAATTAATTATATAATCCACAGGCACGTTAACTGTTTGGACTGCGTCTGCTGTAGCTGCTGTGTTCCGGTTGTAGAAATGTCTTCGGTTGAAAGTAGTAGGCTCCTACAATAAATCCGAAGTATACAACACGGTGTGAGTGGGGCAAGTAAGCAGAAGGGACCAGGGAGAAGACGAAGTCTCCAACAGCAGAGTGTATTTTTCAATTGTACACGGAAGTTATGTATATTTCAACAAGAAGCGTTTTAAACAAAAATTATGTACAATATCTCGAATTTATACAAGTAACCAAAAAGTGTACAATCACATTGTTACGTACTCAACATGGTACACTTGGTCTTCGTGAGTATCACAGGGTTCTATTCTGGGACCCTCTGTGTTTTTAATTTTTACTAATGGCATAACGTGCCACCTTATCTTCCTTACCATGCTAATATAGATACTTGGGGAACAATAAAATGTTTGAAAGACTAGCGTAGATTGCATGCGAACCTAAAATTCGAGGAGACTGGGTGCTGGTCAGTTGCACGAATTTTGATCCAAAAATTCTGAGTGGTGACTTCTTGATACGTCACATGATTAAGCTACTTACAATATACTGACAACTTTTCCCGTGTAACGTCAGAGTGCTACTCGGGTCTCGCTCTAATTGAAAAGCTAGATACAAGTGAAAATTGCACGGGGTTGTAGCGACGCCATACTCGGACTTACACTGTACTCATAAACAGTTAGGTGCACCCACTTTTCGGCTTTTTTTAAAATTGTACAAAATATCCATTCGATAGCAACTTGATGTTCACAGTATCATTGCTTCTCAGTTAATTGAAGGGGAAGCATATCTTTACGAGAGAGTCCAAAGGCGGGTGACTAAAGGGGCGATGAATCTTCAGATAATGAAAGTAGGAAAAGGTCAGATGTTTTCACTTATTAGTAGACAGAAGACAAGTAGTTCAGCGAAGAGTCTCTTTTCGGCGAATTCATTTTCATAGCTGTACAATCGCAAATATATATGGTTATTTTGTGTGTGTGTGTGTGTATACATTAAATTTGTCAAACGAAAATACAATTAGTAGGTTCAGATGAATTGGATGTTGATAAGAGGATAGCAACAAAAGTGATGAGTTGTCAAAAACGATTGTTAAAGAGGAGTAAGTTCAGGTGAATTGGATGTTCATATAAGAGGATAGTAACAAAAGTGATGAGTTGTCATAAATGATTGTTAAATAAGGGTTACGTAATGGCATGAATAGTTTGATGAATGAGTTGTGCTCAAAGGGTGTACATGGAAACAAAATAATATACAGAATTACACAAAGGTTTTAAGTTAGAAAAATAAGCATACAAACAGAAGTAAGGTCAAATCAAACAAACAAAGAAAAGTTAGGTCAAATCAAAGGAGTAGTTACCATGCGAGTAAAAGTGGTTGGATAATTTTCTTTTGTATGCATAGTTCTGGTTCCTCCAACTGGATGGCTAGGGCTTCTGCGATGCAAAGAAGACGGAATCGTACTGTCTTTGGAAGGTTGTTCTTCACTTTGTAGATTACTTTGAAGGAGGCGTTCGTTGAGATGGAATGACCAGTATTGACGAGATGTTCGATTATTGCACTCCTTATATGGCCATTATTTCCTTTCTGTAGCCACGCTGGGTAGTGTTCTTTTACCCTTTTAGACAGGATGCGCGTTGAACGACCGATGTACCTGGCTCCACAGCAACTTATGTCTGATGGCGTCTTAACGGTGACTTAATTAGTCTCAGAACCACCCAAATAAAAGTATTCTGCTATTAAGTTACTAACAGCAAAGACTGGAGTGTACTCTTATTTGTTTTCTCTCCGGATTTGTTGTTCCTGGAATTCTTTATCAGCAATTGTGGCCGTGGAACGCTTTAAACAGAGGCTTGATAATCATACACTGACATAGGGACTAAGTCCAACTGATCTGTTCTCCGAAAACTCACACAATACACTATTATTGGATATAGATCTAAACTCATCCCTAACCACTACCCACTCTGACTCCTCTACCTATTCATTCACTTATTTTATGTTTTTATATTACTCAGTTTCATTGTCTACGTATTTGTTTTTGTTTCTGAGTGTACACTGACTATATCTCTTTTGGACCAAATTGGATGACTAACAAGTGAAACGATCAACTTCATTCATATCAACGCAACTATCCTAACACACATGATGCTGAACACCACATATAAATTATCTCTGCACCACTCCTCATGGTGCCAAACAAAACTTTGCGGAAGATCAGTGAACTTTATCTAACAAACAAGCAAGGAAAAAGAAATCAGTTTGGATTACATTAGCTCATAAAAAGATATTGAATATTCTGGCTTCTTGTTCTACCATGGCCGTCTTGAATACTGCGAGGATATTCCAAAGGTTGAGTTTCTGCTCTCTTTGAATATGTTCCCCATAGAACTCACTGCTATCTTGTAGAGCCGACATTTCGTCTTTGATAGCCTCAACGTTGAAAACTCCAAACCGCATTATTATTGTTGTTTGGAGTAAGGTGATCATTATATGAAGGCACGCTAATCAGTCACGCGAACACTCACGCTGTTCATAATCTCAGCGACATCATTTTCAACAATGAAGCATATTGGTTCCACAATTTATCCCTTGTTATTTATTCTCCGGTTTTCTTTATCATGTTTTATTTCTTTATTCCCTCATATTTTTCAGGCTTAATAAAGTTTTGCCAGATTGTTATATGACAGTGAATCACAAAGTCATATAGGGAACGACATTGTGAATGTAATCACAAAACTCAATTAAAACAAACTGATACCCATTTACTTTCAAGAAAGCTGAATGTGTCGATCAGAATGGTTTACTTTATTGGAATCCATGGAAGAACTACAAACGCTTTTCAGTATTAAGCAGTCCTATTTAGAAAAATCAGTGGGACTGAAATGCTCGTTCATCTAGTTAAGGATCGCTAGAGAATAAAAACAAGTAGCATGACAACTTGTTAAGCGGTGGGAGTAGAGCAACCCTGTGTTTATCTTACTGTGTTCAGCATAAAAGCTGTCCAGCTTAAGCTGAGATGAAGAAACTGAATATATGAAAAAAAGTGAAGACTTTGATTCTCATAGTAAAAACAACAGACACATTCGTAAAGCCGTTTGAACTCACTGCATACCAACATCAGTCATCTCTCCCGAACAGTGTTCGGCGATTTTCAATTTTGTTTTCTCCATAATACTTATGTAAAAAAAAATAAAAACTGTTTGTGGGGGATTGCTTGCGCTCTCTGATTCCGCCATTGTACCAAATACACGCTCTTACTGAGCTCTCGTTCTGATTCTCTTCCTGGTGTGACTGTTGTTCACTGTGTTACATTTAATTAACTTGAAGTAGAGTATTTACTTTTTTAGGTAGATTTTTGTGATAGTTAAGGTCATATTGCGGTTTTACAGGTCTACTAAGACTTCCACTACTTCATGGTGAAACTATTTACACTAACTTGGGAATTAGACTAGCAATAGATAAGGTCTGGATTTTCGACTGGAAAAAGCAAACTATGCAATAAAAAAATAACTTAGATGATCGCGTTTCCTGAGAGGCAAATCTCTACCGTAAGTAAAACTGACAAAAGTTAATCATTGCTAATATAAAAGTGTGACTACACCGTCATTAGTAACATAACAAGCATTCAGAACTTAATAAAACACATGAAACACCATAAATATTTTTTAAGATTCCTGTACGTTCCTAGTGGAACATAGGGCACCTTCAGGCTAGAGACTTGAAGTTTCGGTGGCAGTGGTGTTTATTTTTACGGGATAAAGTTGCTAGCCTCATGCCCAACCTTCCCTCTTTACCGGTCTTATAACTGGCATAGCGAGGTATAGGAGTCCGGGAATCGAACTGCGGACCACATGCGTGGTTGGTGAGCATTCCACCACTGTCACCAACGCATATATATATATATATTGACTAACAGCATTCCCATTGAGGAAAGACACATTTCTTCCACCATCAATAAAGAAAATGACGCAAAATGCATTCATCAAGACGTTAACAGATCCTGACTATGTTAGTTCAACAAGACAAAAGCCAGAAGTTCGTAGACTTCAGTTAATACTGTCATCTGCCCTTTGCACAACAGCTGTCTTTCAAAGGTAAAACTTCACAGTTTGGATTGGTAAATTCTAGGTTCGAGTCTCGTTGACAGTACTACTATTTACTTAAATTCTGGTAAATTTAGCTAACCACTCCCTCGAACGCAACAGAATGTTATGTGCGTATATTTTAGACGTAATCATCACCTGGCAAATAATGATTATACCCTTTTTTCTTCTTTTCATACTTCATATTTACCATCACATGGAATTTGTAGATAAGTAGACAAGAAGTGAATGGAAGCTCTCATTTTGGCTTATTTTTATATGAGATATTTTGAAAAAAGATCATACAGTCATTTTTACTCAATTAAGGCATATATATATGTAGAAAAGCATATTGTTCAAAATTCCTAAATATTATGTATCAAAGATGATAAAATTGTACATGTTTACATTATCTTTTTTTGTGTCAGTAAGTATTATGTGGACATTTCTTGTTTTAATGTTTGAATATTTTAGGCAGAGAAATTTCAAATTTTTATATACTTACACAAGCTAAATCAGCGGGGAAAAAGAAACAAAGAAAGAAAGAAAGAGAAAAAAACGGAATACAGTTCTGTGTACACATTATGAAGTTTTTGCTCAAAAATTTATGGCATTAAACACACTAAATTAAAAAAAAGGAAAATTAAACTTCCCTTGTATAAATGCTTTTTTTCAGGTAATAATTTAAAGGAAAGGGAAAAAAGAAGAGGGAACCAATAGAAAAAAAACAGGTTATAAATTTAAAAGTTGAGAGAGAGAGAGAGAGGGGAAAAACAAAGGTTAAGGAGTCTGAACAGCGGTTGGATCTCTGTCAAAAAATCGCTTAAAAGTGAAATTAGGAAAAGGTAGTTGAGTATTACCGGAGGATGAACTATCTAAACCTTGACTGTTTTCACTACTATTCAATGTACGCTCATCATCAACTGGATCAAAGTTAGATGTGTCTAATTCATCACGGATCTAAAATAGGTACAAGAAAAAAGTAATTCTGTTGTAAAATGTTGAAAAAAAAATAATTAAATACAAATAAGAAAGTGTCGTTTTTAAAAAGGGCTGATGGGTATATCGACTGGTGTACTTAGAAAGAAGAGACTTAAAACCAGAAGTGAGTAATTTTGGGTTAACATCTCAATTCGAGTTATCCTAAGGTGAGCGTACGATGCTAAACAGAATAAGGTTAAAGCAAATACTCTAACACTACCAATGCAACAGCTAGCCACAACTGAATTAGGCAACGCAAGTAGGTATTTTTATTTCCAACTGACTGGGAAAGTATTTTACCAACTTGAGCCACTTATATTCCTAATAGCATCCTTTCAATCGAAGTTGCATTCAGCCCAGCCGTCGTTTAATTTATAGGCCAAGGGAATAAACTAATTGCTTGCTGATAAGCTTCGACAGGAAACTTAACGTGTGCGTCGGTGGCACAGTGGTTAGGACTCTCGCCAACCATGCACATGGTCCGAGGTTCAATCCCCTGCCGACGTACACCTGATATCTATGGTCGGCCTGCAAAATTCGGGCTACGTATATCACATGCTGAGAATTCCATACTTGTACCAAAAAATACAGTGTGAAATCAAGCTGTAATAAAAAAAAAATATATAAATTAATAAATTAAAAAAATAATGGAAAAGATTAGTAGCTCATGCGGATAATTTTGATGCGGTAGTGTCCCATAAGCTGGGTAGCTTAGTTTAGTTGTGACTCTGGACATCTTCAGCGTGGACTTCGACATAAAGTGAACCTGTTTGATTAGTCTACGAATGATACGATTGTCTTGCATGACGACGTTGGTTGTAAGTGATTATTCATTTGTATTAGTATAGATCACTTTGTTTAAAAAAACGTGAAGTTTTGCTTTGAAGAGGTAATCCAGAGAGACAATAAAAGTTCCACAACTAAACAACCCAATTGAGAGAACAAAACTGCACAAACTTCTATGGTTAAAAGAAGTTATAAATGCAAGGGCATCGCAAATACTGAAAGCAAGCTGTTCTTGAAAATTTTAATAAAATTCACTCCAAGTACAATAAAGTAGACGGAAGCAATAACACCAAAAAAAAAGAAAAAAAGAAAATCCACAGGCTCTTTTAACGCATGTTTACAAAATATCGTCTTTTTCCCCTGAAATACTTGAGATACACTTTTAGATAGTTTAGATGAAAAGCATGAGACTGTCAACTGATGGAAGTGATGCTCCTGTATATCTATCTCCGTTAAAAGACACTGCTTTCATAACAGCGATAACATTGATTAAATGCATCTCCAAGTCTGCTCATACGCATAAGAACACGAAAACGAAAACTTATTTTGTTGTCATTTATTTTTCATATAATAAAAGTGAGTATCTAGAAGCATGGAATTGCAGTGCGAATCAGTCTTTTATCTCTGGAACATTTCTGTCTATATACATACATGTTTAGTCATTCTTATTTCTGATTATGAAAGAGACTGTATATGTATATATATATCCTGACTTACTGTTGGGACATAAGGCGGAGTTTGGTGAACTAGTTTATCCCAAGCAGTTGACTCAAAGAAAGGATGAGATTTGATTTTGACTGGATCAGATAGACGATCAGCTGGATCTCGAAGAAGCTGACGTATAAGATTACTGGCATCAGGCTTTAAACGAGGTTCACCGGGTAATTTGAGATATTTATACCATTGGACAACACGAATTTGAGTGTCTGCAGCTGTTTGAGCAAGAAAAGGAGGTTGTCCAACAAGCATTTCGTAAAGTATCACGCCAACTGACCACCAGTCACACGCTTGTCCATAATCTGTAAAATAGGTATGTATAATCGACAGTATCCAATGCGTTTTAGTTAGAAAAGAATTTCCATAAAGCGGAACAACAACAACAAAAAAATCCCACTAAATTTCAAATGACTTACCCTGTCTGCGTAATATTTCTGGCGCTATATAGTTTGGTGTTCCCACCAAAGACTGTGCACACCGACGGTTAGCAAAGCTGTTTCTACGTCTTTCTAGAGTTTTATCATGATGTACACCTCGTATTGCCGTAAATTGTTTACCATTTGTTTGACGGAGATTACGAACTTGTTCAAGTGCTCCAATTTCTTCCTTTTCTATAGTTGTAATATCATCTTCATCGCATTCTTTACTGTTTTTTGTGGTTTGCTCTTCATTCGTCTTATCTGTATCATCAGGTGGTTCAGTTGTCTTAGCACGATTTATTCTACTACGATTTGGTGATGAACACGGGATACTAAAGTCTAAATCCCAATATTTTGAACTATGCGTCCAACGAAAGCCAGTACACAGACCGAAATCGGTGAGTTTAATATGACCTTCACGATTAATAAGGATATTGTCCGGTTTGATATCTCTGTTTTCATAAGAGAAAAGAATGCCACACATATTATATGATCTTTCTGAATGAAATAGAATATAAAAGTAGCATAGTTAGCACGAAATAAATATTAGGCGACAACTATAATACAATCAGATAGCTTCTATTGTAAATAACAAAGTGAATACCTCAGTCATATAATAACAATAAAAGTTTTTTTTTATCAAATGTTGATGAGATCGGTCCTACATCTATTTACTCACTAATGCATACACCATGTCTTAACAAAACAAGGGCTGTGAAGCAACATGAGTAACATGATATTATATTGGAGGCAATCGGCAGGAAGCTCCACCTGACCTAGGTTTCATTTTTTTTTGGCACTCACCAGTTAGCAAGGCGTTTCTACAACCTTGAAGAAACTCATGTCCCTTCTGAGATTCGAACCCGCGTCATTCAGTGGGTACTGCAGTCAGAGACGTTACCATTGAGCTATACGGACTCGCGAATGACCTCCTTCCTCTAGGACTGTAGTGGATACTTTGATTGGACACTAGTGTGACGTGCCAACGAGTGCCTGACGAGCGCCAACTGGCACAAAACCTAGGTCAAGTAAGGCTACCACCTGTGGCCGATTGCCTCCAACTATCTAATATTATCAAATCAATGTGCACAGTGATGGTGAGCTATCTAGGATGGTGGCCACATTGCAAACCTGACAGACAGAATTCAGTCTGCACCAAAGAAAGGACTAGACACGTCACACTAGTTACTAGTGTCAAATCAAAGTAACATGAAGTAATAAACGATAGTCAAATATTCACAAAAATAATGACATTAGTGAGTGGTGTTCATCAATGAAGTCCTGTTTTTTTTTAGTAACATTAGTGTCATTCTTAACATGAAGATTAACTGGTAATCAAATCTGTTGTTTTGAGGAAAGTAGGCCCTTTATTCTCCCAATAAAATAACTAAAACTTGCGTGAAATCCAAACACCTTAACTATTATTATGCTTTTAGTGTATTCACGTCATTACTGTATAGACACGGTATACTGCTGTCAGGCTACCTTCGGATAGTTTACTTTCCTCAATTTTTCTACCATCTCGCAAATAAGAAAAGACAGGCGAACAAAGAGCGGTTATCATAACTTAGTGTTAATGCCTACATAACCTCTGGGCATTGAAAGGCACTGTATAAACAGGGGATGAAGACTGTTACTGTTAGTTATAACCAAACTGTCATATTCTGAATAGATTTACAGGATGATGATTGCAACTTACTCCATTGGTGAAAGCATGGCTCCTATTAAGCACAAACTATCTCAGTCAGTAAACGTCAAAAGTTGGCCATGTATCGTCTTCTACTGAGACTGTGAGCTGAAAACCGATCATCAATTCTCTATATTTATGTAACTCAACAAATCTTTAAAAGACAAAATGAATGAAGTGTAAAATAACTGAATTTTTCCGAGGAGTAAATTTGAGAGAAAATCAAGAAAAACAAGTGGCCGGTCGGTGTAAGCAAACGACTTCTTATGGTAGTGATGAGATTTAGCAATGACGAGAAGGTCAGTTTAGAAGTGTTAAGTTCTATCTGTTAAATTTTAATAGTTTATTTAGACTGGGGAAATTCTCGGCACATTTTCCTATGCTGACGAAAACTGTATGACATTTATTTCACATGACATGAAATCCTGACATAATAAACCAGTCTTGGAACTCCTTCCGTAACGATTAACTTTTAAATTATGAATGGTAGTATTTGAGATTCTAGGGGAAAGCTGTTGTAGCAGTTATCTTTGTTACTTTCCGAGTGAAGCAACGGAAATACGGTGAAATAACACTAGAAAACTAAATTTGCGGATTTCACGAAAACGTCTCTTAAAAACAAACATTACTACTTATTACAGTAGTTCAACCAAGAAAAAAAACTCCACAATGTCTGAGAAATTATAAAGAGGAACTATCTAGGCAGGTTTGAAAGAAAAAAGCAGTGACAGAAAAAAGATGGACGGAAGACTGACGTGAATAATAGTTTTCCTTTAATGCTAAAGTATGCAAGTGCCGTTAGCCGATGAGTTTTTTTTTTAATCCTTCACGTTCCCCAGTGGAACATAGGGCTTCAAGCTAGTGGCTTGAAGTTTCTGTAGCAGTGTTTATTTTACAGGATGGGGTTGCTAGCCTCATGCCCAACCTTTCCTCTTTACCAGCATTATTTCTGACTTAGCGAGGTAAAGGAGTGCGTCGGCCAGAAATCGAACCCCGGACCATGTGCATGGTCGGCGAGCGTCCTAACCGCTATGTCACCGACGCACAGCCGATGAGTTATCCAGTGGTAAATTCTCAATAATAACGGTCAAAGGTTAAATACTTGAAAAGTTTTACCTTAATTTTCTTATGAAATATAGGAAGTCGTTCTTTGGTTTTTTGATAATGTACTACAGAAACTAGTGAAACTGCCATTCATTATAACAATAATAATAAAAATGAATGATTATGAAAAGTTGTACTACACGTCATTTCGCAGTTCTAGCGGTATATGCATGCTACCGTTTCCGTATATAAACCAAAACTTGACATTGTGTTTTGCGTTATCGATTATTTACTTTTAGACCCCATTAACAAGTTACATCTTTATTGATCAGTCATAGCTATCCGAGTTGTATCTCCCGTATATGGTGGTATAATAGGATGAGCAGTATTGAGGTTAGGCACAGGTTGTTAAGTAAGCAGGGAAAGTTGGTGGACGAGGTTGTGAAGTGACATCGATGTATTTAAGTCATAGTGTTTCATTTATATCGATACATTGGAATTCATAATTGATTTAGGGAGTTGTAAAGCCAAAAACTATGTTGCTTAAAAGCGAATAGACTTATTTAAGAATAGTAAAATGAAGCGTTACATAATAGCCAGCAAATGTATTCAGTAATATCAGTGTAGTTAAAAGGAAAAAAAAGAAATAAAAATCAAATGGTGAATTACTCACCGATGTACAAATCCCATAGCATGAACACTTTGCAGTGCCAATGTCAATTCAGCAATATAAAATCGTGCTAATGGTTCTTCGAAAATGCCTTTCTTGATTAACAATGACATCATATCACCACCTATTTGAAAAGTATGAAAAAAAGGTGTTTTTATAAGAGCAAACAGCAGAGAAGTAAAGCACTGCTACATAAGTATTTCTGAAGGTGAATTTTATAGTTGAAGATACTACTATATGAGCTTGTTTATTAGGTATATCAAACAGTGAGTGAAACAGTATTAGTATTTACTGGATGACGTTTCGAACACAATTTATTGCTTTTCATAATCATGTCGCCAATTATTATCACACGACCTAAAAACTTGACTTTTATAGTTTTCTTTGTTCTCTCCTGTTTGTCGTAGTAGGGGTAGTAGAATTTTCCAGATGTCCGGATGGACAGATGTTGAAACATTCCCATTACACGTATTCTCTGTCAGTTGATTAGATAAACAAAGCTTCTGTTATCAATCTCTCCCTCCACCCTGTTACTTCAGATCCTAGAACCTCGGAAACCCTAAGGAGAATTCTTAACAACGCTGGCAGGAATAAAAGTGGCTGGCATTCCAACCAACCACAAACTCAATTAGAAACAAGCTTTGTCGGTTAAAGGATCAATCCTGACAGTGGAGCCTTTAAAACAAAACAATTTAGTTTATCTGATACACTGCTGAATTGATTGTCAGGTCAAATGCCTAGCTCAAAGTAGTAGAGCAGGGGCAGTCAGACAAGCAGAGCATAAAACCCTAGCGAAGTCTACATTAGTTGATCCGAATGAGTTAAAAAACACACTGGAGATTGGTTCGACTAAACACTCACTACATGCAGCTAAACACAATCATAGAATAGACGATGGGATAAGATGACAGTTTTAAAATCAAATGTAACAGTGTGGAGGGAGAGATTGATAACAGAAGCTTTGTTTATCGAATCAACTGAGACGGAATACGTGTAACAGGAATGATTCAGTACCTGTCCATCCGGACATCTGGAAAATTCTACTACCCCAACGACGATATATAGGAGAGGGCAAAAAAACTATAAAACTCGAGTGTTGAGGTCGTGTGATAATAATTGGCGATGTGATTATGAGCAGTAGTAAATTTTGTTAGGAAGACTGTCATCCAGTGAATAACGCTGTTTCAATTAAATTAATAAGACCCGTTGCACAAGAAGTGGCTCTCGTGGCCCAAGTGGTCTAGTGGATAACGCTTTGGCGTTGGAAACTATGGGTTCTGGGTTCGAGACTCGGTGGGAACATCATCACTCATTGAGAAATGCAGGTAAATCCAGATGACGAGTGCTAAATAGGACGAAATACGCATCCTGGATTCTACTGCTAGTCACCATCCACCAATTAAGCTCTCCAACTTTGTTGCGCAAATACTGTTAAGTAAATACCCGTATGTGTAGAAATGAAATAATAGCCTCACTACAACTCTCTCTTCTAATACCACACGACAACACATCACACATACACACACTGCAGTTTGTTAGCTTCGTAGTGTAATGTCAGATAACTGAAACCGATACAAATCATTGGAAGGCGATATCATTTAAGTTAGTTTTAGTACAGACTTTCTAGATGCATTCTAAAAAAGAATACTTTGCTGTTCTTTTAATGTCCATTTCATTATAGTTCATAATGAATATGACTTTTTATAAATCAGTCTGAAATAGAAAAGAAATTTAATATGAACGCAAATAACTCAGTGGTAACTTCTCTGGTCACAGCACTGGGTTAGGCAGATTCAAGTTTCTAAAGGAGCAGTAACTCCTACAGGATCGAAGATACGCTTTAGAGACAAATGGCAGTCAGTGGAAAACCTAGGTCCTTGTCAGTACAGTACCAAAAATGTAGCTTTCAAAGGACTGTTTGTATAACTGACAGTCTTAATGTACCAGTGGAAATGAAAAAAATGTATGGGGCACAAAATATCATGAATTTAAATTGGTGAAAAGTAGTGGAAATGGGACAAAATAAAATATATATTTTACCTTACATATACCCTTTTTCCTTATTACCCAGCATAAAAAAAACTATGCGCATCATTACAGGGGGATTAATGACAACAGGAAAAAAGACATTTTTGGTGCAGTACGACAATGTTAAAAAGGCATAATCTTCAAAAAAACTCGATACTCCGTGTTTTTAAAAAAACGTGTAATGCTGTTTAAATTTTTAAAACCAAAGCATGACATATTCCATATTTTTTTTTTAAACATATTTTTAAATTTTAGTTCACAGGGGTTTTATGATTTCAAGATTTATTATGAAGTGACCCTCGTTGGAGAAACATCCATAAACAGCGGGTATTGAAGAGTGATTTTGTCCCTGTCCTTAACTCTTCATCAAGACGCATCTGCTGGATTCCGTCCCAGTGGCTGAATAATGCTACTGAGTGACACAATAGGATTCTCATGTGTTTAAGCATACAACGGGCAGAATTCGAGATTATTTATCAAGTTTTCCGGTTGGACGATCGATGCCGAAAATGAGCAACATTATAGATGTGATAAAAAGAAAGATACTTTTGTGACACAAGTAGTCAGTGATATTCAGGAAATTACATGCTTATTAAATTAGTTGTGTCCTCTGAGTTGGTTGATTTAATTCCCAGGCTGCCGTCGTCCATCTAGACAACATCTTCAGCGCAGGTTTTAGCATAAAATGAACTTGTTTGAATTCGTCATGAATGATGTAATTGTATCTCATGTCATGACTGGTTGTTAATTTACGTCTCTATTGATTATATTTTTAATGACTTGGAATTCGAACTTTCTTTTCATGTGATTTTCTCTTTATTCGCTGGTAGATTTGGTCTGTAGAGGTAATATGTTTGTTAATTGCTAATTCACTTGAGTACCGGGCTTCTAAAGATGCTCTAACTACATTTCTGGTGTTTCCACTATTTCAAATTACGGCATTAACCCAATCAGATTGGTGTCTATAATTATCCACATGCACCGATACGACAGAATATATATAACATGTCTTTTTATAGACAATTTGTGTTCTCGAATTCGAAGGAGATGTCGCCATTTTGACGGGTGTAATGTTTATTGCAGTTGATACAGTTTACTTTGTATATGGTATTAATTTTATCTTCTTTTTCCGTTTGATCTTTCAGTTTGCATACTATCGAATGAAGTGATTGTGCTGGCCGGCTGGCTTGTGTACTATATATCTGTCTGTCTGTTTTCGACATAGAACTTTGCACAAATGTGAGGAAGTTCAAGTCGCCACACTCCGTGTAGCACGCGAAGCAAGAGAAGAAAGTACAAGAAGAGCATAATAGAAACAGTGAGCAGAGGTGTGAGACAAAGGAGGAGTAATAACGAAGAACAAAACAGTTTCATTGGAAATCATAAGTCACAGGGAGTGGATGCATCTGCGCCACTGAGAACGGTTTTGAGCCATGTCACCAATTGTTTCCAACCATAGATTTTTACCGTCCCGAGGACCCCAGCCTGGAAGTCTGCACCTTCCTACGCGGCTTAGACCAACTGTTGTGGATTTCATTGACTGATGCCAAGTTTTTGTTTGACCGCCGCTAGCTTTTTTCCAGCCTGACCCTATATCCGCTAACATAGCTCGTCGAGGGAGGCGATGACTTGGCATACGTAACACATGTCCTAACCATCTCAGTCTTTGTAACTTCACGACTTCGTCGATTGATTTCCCCAGGGCAGGAGTGATAAGTATGCTACTGAGGCGCACCAAACAAAAAAGAACAAACAAAAACAGGCTGCGCGTGACTGGCCTCAAGCAGTTGTCCCCTGGGCTCTGCGGTCACGCAACCAACTTCCACGGTGTGGGCAGCCGGGAAGTAACAATCGCCCTCACAATCCGAAACGCACGCGAAACTTCTCTATTACTCACTCATCTTTGTTTTCTTCTTCACCTCTATCATCTTGCCTTCCTTCCACTGATGCAACTGCTCGACTTGATAGCTCTCCACTATATATATATATATATATATATATACCTATTTCAAATGGTCTCAATATTCTAGCTTATACTTCCTGTCTACCGCTTGCTTGAACTGGATTTTGAAACTACGGTTTATATTCAAGGATTAAGAGGTCAGTTTATAAAAGGAAATTTCAACATCGAAAGTCATGTGTTACTATACAAAAGGAATTCCCAGTTACACATAATTTTAATGAGAAACATTATCGGTCAGTATAAAGTAAATTAAAATCATCCACTTTTACACTGTCATATTCACTATTCCTTTTTACCTATTATTAAATATTTTTTTATGGTTGTTGCATTTTGACTTTAAAATGATAAAGTTTAACAAATTTATTATCATCTTACTAACTAAGGTGATTTTTGTATAGAGAGAAGAAAAAGGACAGACAAAAAGAATATCAGATTATTTAGAGAAAAGCACATTCAGTCTTATATGCAGAATTAGTTGTCATCTGAACTGAGGTAAAAGTGATGGGATTCCAGCAAGCTGGAACCATCGCGTCGAATCCGTACCGAAATACTGCAAGCAGTTTATGTCTACATCAATTGATGGTAATGGAGTCATGAATACGTTGAGTGTCGATACCAGTTATTTGGTTACTGGATTTCATCATGAGCTGACATCTTTTACAGAATCATTGGAAAACCTTCAGGGAGTACTGGACACCTGTATCCGTTGTCCTAGTTTGGGATTCTTCAGCAGTACTCACCCACTGCCAGGGTTCGAGCCCAGGTCCTTCTGGTTACAAGGTGAGCTAGCTCGTAGACCATTAATCTACTGGGACCCAATCCCATGAATTCTAACTTCTGTCAATTCACAACATAGGGCGACTGGCACTAGTCAATGTCTTCGGCGAGTATTATTATTATTATTATATAAGCTTTATTCCAAATCAGTACTTGTGATACAGAATGGAATTCTCAGCATTTTACTACAATATTGCATCCAGTTTTTACATTAACAATAAATAAAGTTCTACATAGATTAAAGTAGATTAAAGTATTTGTCATCACAACCACCCTGCTGTATTCCACTGTGTTGAGAGCTATCTGCTAGCCAAAATTGTAGATACCAATTGACGTCAGTGTTACGTCCCGAATCGCGGTCACGAGATAAAACAAGAACAAAGCCTAACCTTGAGGAACTCAACAACCAATCACGGCAGACTTAGCATGTGCAAATACGATTCGCAGATATATGGTCTGACTTTCAAAGAAACGGCCACAAAGAGATGACAAAATAGCCTTCAACGAGAAAACAGCCGATCAGAAGACGCTGTTTCTCTGTTAATAATAACGAATAATAATGTGCATAAAAATATATATGAATATCTCCTGATTTTCTCAATATAAACGATCTGTTGCCCGGCCATTGTCTTCTGTCGTTACACTACTGATCACGGCTTCCCACTAGAACCCTGAATAGGACCAGTCGCTAGTGAGCATCTCATTGATATTCAAGTATTGGTTTGTAGAGATTTGATTATTTAGAGAAAAGCCTATATACAGACTCTGAATTGTAACAAAAGTAGAGGAATTCCAAAAAAGGAACGAGAACAAATTTAGTACAAAGAAACTTCTTACCAGGAATGTATTCCATAACTAAATAAAGTGCCCGAGAATCTTGAAATGAGAAAAACAACTTGACTACCCATTCGTTATCTGCTTCAGCAAGAATATCTCTTTCAGCCTGTACATGAGCTAGTTGTCGACGTTCTACAACATCGCGTTTATTTAACAGCTTCATTGCATACAACTGATTATTATCCTTTTTACGTACAAGCCAAACCTTGCCAAATGCACCGACACCTGTAATTTAACACAATGGAAAAGAATGAATAAGATATGCTTTTATGCAGGTTATTTGTTCACAAAATCGATACTATCAGACATAACTGTAAAACGAAACAACATTCAGATCCAAGCGGATTAGGTTAGAGACTCTGGATCAATTTGCTTGCAAACAAAACATAGTGTTACAGGTTTATAAACTGACAGTCTGCAGCTACTAGTTAAAATGGAATCATCATGAGCTGACATTGGTTAGAGAACCATTGGAAAACCTGGTAGTACTGGACAGCTGTCTCAACCTAGTTTGGGAATCTTCGGTAGTATGCACCCACTGGCCTTATTTAGGTAGGTAGTTACCTGGGGTTCTAGTGACAAGTTGTGAACAGTGGGGTGCAGCCGGTCGGGTGTGAGGACAAATACTCGCCGAAGACACTAGCTAGCTTTTGTGCTATATCGTGAACTGGCAGAAGTTAAAATTCATGGGCCATTGGATCGGGTCCTAGTGGCTTAATGGTATACGAGCTCGCCTTGTAACCAGAAGAACCTGGGTTCGAACCCCGGTAGGTGCGTACTGATGAAGAGTCCCAAACTAGGACAACGGAAACAGCTGTCCAGTAGTCCCAGGCTTTTCAATGGTTCTCTAACTAATGTCAGCTCATGATGAAATCCTGTAACCAATCAACCAAATCCCTATAAACCAATACTTGAATAAAATGGAATCGTCCAATAATTTCCAATTATATCTTCAACTGTTATTATTACATTCAGTGATTTCTCAAAGACTCTTTACCACTACTTCGGAGCAAATATCCTTAAGAAAAGAATTACAGACTCACTAAGAACATTCTTCACAGCAACGCTAAGGGTAGTGTTTTCCAGTCTTCCGTTGGTCTTCAGAAGCCTTAAGGACATGATCTAGCATCTGACCACTTTTGTATGTACACGTTAGTTTACCTGTTGCTGTGGAGTCAGGTAGACTCGTCCATCGACGCATATCCTGTCTAAAAGGGTACAAAGACACTAGCCTAAACTGCTGAGGAAAGGTAGTAGTGGCTCTATTAGGAGTGCGACCATCGAACATCTTGTCAACACTAACCATTCCATTTCAACAAACGGCTCCTTAAAAGTAATCTCATAGTGTGAAGAATAACCTGCCAAAGGCAATACGCTTTCGTCTTCTTTGCATTGCTGAAGCTTTAGCCGATTATTTAGAAAAACTGAAGCCAAGCATACAAAAGAAAGTTGCTCAGCCACTCCTACTATCACAGTAACAACCGTGTTGATTCCTATTGACTTCATTTTTGTTTGTTTTTTTCTAATTCCTTATAGTTATTGTATTTTTCTATAACTCTTACATAATTCCATACTTTCCTTCGTTTCTATCCACATCCTGATTACAAATCATTCATTAAAATGTTCATCGTAATTTTTTCTATTCCTTCACATTCCCAGCGGAATATACGGCTTCAAACTGGAGACTTGAAGTTTCTGTGACAGTGTTTATTTTTACGGGATGGAGTTGCTAGGCTCATGCCCAACCTCCTCTTTTTACCAGTCTTATTACTGACCTGGCAAGGCAAAGGATTGCGTCTTTGGCTGGGGATCGAACCCGGACCACATGAGGCGTGGTCGGCGAGCATTCTACCTCTGTGCCACCGACTTACATTGAAATGTTCATCGTATTACTTACCCGTAATACACTTATTTAATTTCTTTTATGCATTGAATAATAATATTCACAATTATGTTTGTGACAGCTCATCACTTACGTGACTACCTTGTTTGATAAGAAAATTGTATATAAATGTGATTGTACAACTAGAGAGGAAAATGAAGTCACCACAAAGAGCCTTTTCACTGAACTCTACATGTTTTATTTCCATTATTAATGTCTAGTTGGGGATTATTCATGAATTCAGTAATTTTGAGCCGAGATACGTACTGCTGGTTTGAGGTATACTCAAACAAATAAATAAACATACATCTCGTGTAATCTGAAAAATACTATTCATCACCTTACAGGCTGGTAACATTACAAATTTAAAGTAGGGAGGATGAATTCGCTGATCCTTTCCGATCAATCAGAAGTTGGGAAATCTGTAGAATACCTACAATTTTGTAAGGTAATCAACAATAAGCCAATGTTTTTACACTACTGTACTCTTGAGAGAGGTGGACAGAGAGAGAGAGAGAGGAAATTCACCATTTTTTGAAATAATACTCTATAAATTCAGTAGAAAGCATAACCTTCAGATATCCTTTTTTTTCAAAAATGATATCAGTGTGGTAGAAGTTGAGAATTAGACTTGAATATACACACCAGGAATTCAATGCACAGAATAACTGTATCTACGTATCTATCTATCTATCTATCAATCTCCTATCTGCATACAACCAAATATTTGTACACCTAAAGTATACAGGCTTTCAGAAATGCTGTAAGAGATATGAATGTATTTAAAGATATGGCAAAAATTTCCTGTTTCTTTTTTCCTTGCTGCTGTTAATGTAAGGTAACCTTTAGAAAAATATTTTTGTGCCTAAGAGAAACACATTTTCCTGCCAGCAGACATTGGAATGTTGTCCATTAATAAAGCATTTGTTCGTTTACATTTAGGCATTTAACAGCATAAACTTTTGTTCATAGGTAAGCGTGAATACGTGTGTGTGTGTGTGTACGTGTATATGTATGTTGTATGCATGTGTGCATGTTTGCGTGCAAGCGTGTTTGTTATGCTGTATATACGCGGATTCAAAGATTAGTTGTAATAGAAGATAAACCAGGGTATAGAACACAAAATAGCATCAAGAATTCGGCCATTCATACATTTCTACCCACGCTTATTGATGTGTACATTCCTTCAAAAATTTTTAGCTAATGCATACTCGAAACTGTCCATCTGTTAATGTGTAACGTGGTGACCAATATTACTTGTTAGACTTTATAATTTCTTGAAAGAAATAAGCATAAATATGTAATAAAATAGATAAATTTCTGCAAAATGGAGATTCGTGGGTGGATTTTCACTGTGCACCCAAACACTGCCTAGATTTATAGTTGGACAGAGGTGAATAAAGTTATACATAAGCATGCACAATAAAGTGCAGCCAAAAAAATAAAATAATCGAATCGATTACTGCATATTAAATTATGATCTGTAATTCTTGGGTTGAAAAAAAAAACAACAAAGAAAAGAATTACCTGGCAACAGAAGAAATGAATACTTTTGTTGGTCAGGGCAGACCAAGAGAGTTGAACAGCTGCTTTACACGTGACCTACATGTTACACACTAGATATATAGCACAGCAAAGAAAATGCATTGGAATTCAGTAAAGCAAATTACATATGTGAACGGTACAGTTATTGGCTTTTATGCCCAGCCTACATAAAATCAATGCAGTCACAGAGATCTATCATTTTGTAACTGCGAGAGAGAGAGAGAGACAAAGGGAAAAAATAGAGGAAATCTACTAGATCGGTATGCAGCAAAGCTACAGGGATTTATGTATAAAGAATTTATTGCCGTATACCACAAAGATGTTGACCAGGATGACTGTATATAATTAGTAAGTTATATATAAACCAATAGGAAATATTACAGTCACAAAAAGTCTAGACCGCTGTATCAACTATTCAGATTCAGGAAGAATGCATGTAATTTTAAATATTTACAAACAATAAATTTTGACTAGTGTAAATGCCGTAAACGATATTTTTTTTTTCTCAATCAAATTATTTATGAAACAAAAAGTGGAACAGATATTTCAAGGAGTTCGCTTGAATCTATGGTTGTGTAGTATTCAAAGGAACCTAAGATTAAATTTAGATTACTGGTGAAAAAGTTCACCACACTGGAAGGAAGTGATGATGTGCGTATCTTTTTTTGTTTTATTTTCTGAATAATGTGTACATATTTGTATAAAACTCAGTATGAATTGAAGAATTACACTCGTAACATTCTGTAAGGAAATTACTTTTTATGCTGTGTATTGCGTGAAATAAGAATGCTTTGGATAAAAAATAGGGGTAGGAGTAAAAGGTGAGCGTAGGTGAACATTATCCGCCAGATGAATAGTATCAGAAGTACAGCTGAAAGATATTTAGATATTTAATTATGAAATCAAATGATTTTTCTTTATAAGACTTTCCTGACACATTAAGTGATCCGTGAATGTGAGATTTTTGTGTCTACATAAGGATACAGTAACTTCGAGTCAAACTGATTTCTTTCCATTTATCCCTGTGCTGAGACAGTTTTCATTTTCCACAAAAGATGTGATCAACTTTGTCTGTGATTGATCTGACAGTTTCAATCCCTGAAACGTAAAAATACCTTCAGAACATATTTAAACTAAATTGTATCTCAATGGTTTAATTTCGTTCAAATGCAAAATGAATTGCTCCTTTTATTTACTTATTACGCTCCTTCATAATTTACGTTCACTGATGAGCAAGTTTAGATGACAGTAAGCCGCTGAAATATGGTAGATTTGACGTATCCTCTAAATCATAGTATCAGAATTATTTTCGAAATTCATGCTTCTAAACGTGCGTCGGTGACACAGAGGCAGGATGCTCGCCAACCACGCACGTGGTCCACGATTTGATTCCCGATAACCGACGCACTCATTTACCTTGCTAAGTCAGTAATAAGACTGGTAAAGAAGGAAGGTTGGGGGTGAGGCTAGCAACCCCATCCCGTAAAAAATAAACACTACTGCTACCGAAACTTCAAGTCTCTAGCTTAAAGGTGCCCTATGTTCCACTGGAAACGTAAAGGAATACTATTAAACTACTATTTTTCCACTTGTATAAATTTGTTTGATAGATACTTGTGCTTAGTGTCCACCCAGCATAACTAGAAGATATGCAAGTGAAAAGCAACAAGCTGGCAGAAGAAGCATCCAGAGAGGATAGGACTTCAAGTGAACATAGATAAAACAGAGGTGATGAAGATTCCTGGCTAATAACAACAGCAACAGACAACAATCAGCCAGCACAAATGGGAGGAACCTGAAAGAAACAACCTCCTTCACCTACAGACATGGGAAGCATCGTTTCAACTACAGGTGGGTGGAACTGACGAGGACATCAAAGCCAGAATCGGAAAAGCAAAACAAGCTTTCAAGTCTAAGTGGAGGTCAACAGCACTCAACATCGAAAATAAGATCCGGATTTCCAACTCCAATGTGAAGTCAGCCAGCGCTACTATACGGATCAGAGACTTGTGCTTCGCGTCATAAAGAGCACCTCAAACAAACTTCAGACCTTCATCAACAGTTGTCTTCGCTCGAAACCAAGATCAGATGGCCAGCTAGAAAAGATAAGCAGTAGTGAGGGATCTCTGGAAGCAAACCAACACAGCAGGAACCGATTGTGCAACAAATAGACAGGAAGAAATCGAGATGGATTGGCCATACTCTGAGGAAACGAACCATCAAGTGACATCACTAGACAAGCCATCGCTCGAGTGGAACCTGAAAGGGAAGGGGCGAGTTGGACATGAGTGCAAGGGTCATTTGGAGGAGGTCATGTGAAGAGGAGATGAAAGCATGTGGACAGACTTGGAGCGGAGTGAAAAAGTTGGCAGAAAACAGAAGGCAATGGAGACTTGGGCAGCTGAAGCCCTGTTCCTCTAGGAATTAAAGGATATAATAATAATAAAGAATATAGCTGGAAATGATGAAATTCCTGAAGGCGAAAATCAAATGATTATTAGACTTACATACACAAACCTATAATTTTATATATGAAAGCATTAGGAATATGATGTTTGACTGCTATTCATAAGTCTTCATACATTCACACCTGCATTCACAAAACAGATAGCCACTTTCGGTAAACTGTCCATATATACTTTATTTAATTAGAAACTGTTTACATTTGAGAACAGTTTCCAGTCTTAAGTCGAATCATGTGACAGTCCACTGGAGCTATTTGAGCCAAGAATACACGTCGCATAATGGTAAAAGTGGCAATTACATTTGTAGCCATTGAATTTAACGACAGCTAACCTATGACGAAAAGTCGCCACCTCTCACTAAATCAATAAATCACAGGTAAGCTCAATAACTAGTGAAATTAATAACGAGACATTAAGTATCCAATCGTGACACGACACTTGAAGATAACAGAATGCCTTAAATCCTGTTACTTCAAAACTTGTCCCAGCAGCAAATTTTGGCTGGGATGAGAGACTGTTTGATTGACTAACTAAACAAAGTAGGAATTTGCAAATACTGCAGCAGTTCAAGTTGTTATTACTTCGATGAAGAAAACAAAAGTCGTAAAAACCGACGTGACAGCTTCAACGATTGACTTACTACCATAGCCGACACTTTTAGCCTAGTCCTGTTATTGCGGAGTATACTTCTCCATTTAGCAGGATAGATTTAATGGAAGTGTGCATAGCAAGAAGCCGTCAGTGTTTGTACATTTTTTTAAAATCTTCAAAGGTCATCATTGTGATCTGCGAAGTAAGATGAAGGGAACTGCACTACACACGTCTTTTGTTGGTAGTCGGATATCATGTCTGCACAAAAGATTACGCCAGTTGGTGAATATCATGCTAAGGTGTCGACAACGCCAGTCTGTTGAGGTTAACGCACTATCCAAATATGTGAAGTGTTTAATACAAGCAACCAATCAAATTCATCATCTGAAAATCACTGAGTTCGAAAGAAGAAATCACTACAGTTTCTATTGGAAACCAAAAATGTTTAGATGAGAAATATTTGATACTGTAAACGGTAATAAACAAACCAAACAAAATAGTGTGACACTATGTGCTGTGGCGTCCATCGGTGGCATAGGGGCAGGATGCATGTGGTCCACGGTTCGACCCCCGGCAACCGACACACTCCTTTACCTCGCTAAGCCAGTAATAAGACTGGTGAAGAGGGGAGGCTGGGCATGGGGATAGCAACCTCAAACCGTGAAAATAAACACCACTGCTGTCAAAACTTCAAGTCTCTAGCTTGAAGCCCTATTTTCCATTGGGCGAATAAAAGGAATAAAAAAATGTACTGAGGCGTGATACTACATACTGAACGATTGATGGAAACCACTCATGTCAAACTTCGGCGCTACTCTGAATTCTAGTGACTTGAACTAATTCGTCACCCTAAGCTGAGTCAAACCGAGTACACAGCTGATGAGCGCGATTTGAAACAACCGAAATGACCAGCCAGTGTTTGAAACCCTTCGGTTTTGTTAGCCAGCAATACTGTTTGGTACGAATGGTGTCCAACTATTCGTATCAGTTGATGAGTAGTATATATTTATATTCAGTTATTTCGTTTCCCGTCAATAAATTGAAGTTCAGTACGAACCAGTTAGCCAGTATCGTCTTACTGGCATGAAAAGTATTTTTTCTCATAAAGTTCAGAAGACTTCATTTTGTCAACTGATTCACCTAAAAGAGTACTTTAAATCAATGCAACAAGTTCTAATCTTTATTCACCTTTTTGTTAGGCTGACAATTAATAGTGTCAAGTCAGGTGTCCATGATATGTACAATTTTAGTATTTTAAAAAGTGTCACTGTGATTCCATTCGGGGGCTAAAAACAATAAACGGTACTAACTTAACTAGTGAGTGCTATTCATTGGAATGACTGGTTTACAAGTCCGGTTTATTGTTATAATGGCACATGTAGTTAGCATTTTTTTTTACTATTGCCTCAGTCACTAAAATCTCGATATCATTTATGGTGTTTATTGTTTCTGGAATTTAAGCTCAGATTACAATCTGCAGACATATCTAACTATAAGATGTATTTCTCATCAGTTCAGATACATAGTAAGTACTTCTCTGTTTCTAACAACTTACCGGCTAATAGTTATTTCTGATATATATATATATATATAATTCAATGGAATTTAGACAAATCGGTTAGAAAATTTGTGCGTCAGTGGCACAGCGATAGAATGCTCGCCGATCACACTTCACGTGGTCCGGCGTTCAATCCCAAGCCACAGATGCACTCCTTTACCTTGCTAAGTCAGTAATACGACTGGTAAAGAGGGAAGGTTGGGAGTGAGACTAGCGACCTCATCCCGTAAAAATAAACACCACAGCGATAGAAACTTCAAGCCATATGTTCCGCTTAATGGGACGTAAATGAATAAAAATAAAGTTAGAAAATTTACTGAGTCGTCTCAGTATCGATCGACTCATCTAGTCATTCAGCTGCTTTATTTATCGAAAGGACGAAGCTTTCTCTTTGCTATACTGACTCAGTATTTCAAATGTAATGTAATGAATCTTTAAAAAGTTACTGCTTCTTTGTACACATTCACTCAGTGTAACGGCAATACGTAAACTGTGTTAACCACTTTAAAAAAAGGAGGTATACAGTTTGCGTAAAATTTACTGCTTAAATACAAAACACATTTTTCAAGCTTTAAGAAAGTCAGAAATTCTGTCAACTAGTGTAGTAAAAAGAAATGAATTTATTTATGGGAGTCTAAAACGAAAGACTTAACGATTTCTGCTTATGGAGTATTAAAACATCTTTTCTGTTCCAAGAATTCATTCTGAGTTAACATGGCTTCCAAAAACTAATCTTTTAAACTCTCGTACTTATCATGTAGTTGTATATGACAAAAGCGTAATTTTATGATTTTGTTTTGCAGTAAATCAAAAGTAAAAGCCTACCTAGATGCTTTATTCTGAAGAACATTGACTGGTCCATTTTTGCACGCTGCATACGCATATGATTTGATTCTTTTTTGCGAAGTAGACAACGCATCTGTATTCGAGCTGTTTCGTCCAGACCAACCTTGGACATTTCAGCTTCAAGGCGATCACGTCTCTCTTTTCTCTCCCGGTGTATTCGTCCAACATCGGCCATTCTCTGTTCCATGAAACGTCGGTAGACTGCCGGATTAACAGGTTTAACCATTCGAAGAGTGTGTTGTTCTTGAGTTGAATCATTATTGTCTTCTGTCGCTTCAGTCTCATGCATTTGCGGCGATGACTCTTTCAATCTTTCTGCATCTTCTTTATCTTCAGGTTTTGACATGAGATTAGCTGGTTCCAGGGGACTGGGGAAAAATGTCTTAGTTGGTTGATTCACAAATGGACTAGTTGATCGACTAACAAAATAGTCTGGTATATTTTCTTCTTGTTGCTGTTGTTGTTGTTGTTCTGCAGGTGCATTTTGATGCGAGGTATTGCATTTTCCAGGCTGAAATAAAATGTGAGATAAAAAAACTGCGTTCACAAGAAGACTATAATAGCTTCAGGTATACATAATATTCACCGCTTATAATAGTTCTCATTTCTGTGAAGAAGACAGACAGGGACAAATGAGTACGATCCATTCGAAAGGTTTACTGATGATTTACATATACTCACATAGAAGTATTACTGTAGTATTCTTTGAGGTCACCATTAGACATTATTTGTGAATCTTGATGAGATAAGGCAGTCAAACAGTCTTAAAATAGACACAGTTTCATTATTCTAAGTTGTAAGTGATAATTTCCTCCTCAAGAGTGGCAAAATTGTAGTGAGAGCTGGCTGCAAGCCAAAATTGTAGACAGCAGATTAAACGTCAATGTTACATCCCTAATCGGGGTCACGAGACAAAACAAGAGGAGGAAATCAACAACCAATCACAACAGACTTAACGTGGGCAGATACTATTCGCAGATAGATGACCGGAATGTCCAAGTAACAGCCACAAAGAGATGACAGAATAACCTTCAGGAATAAAACAATCAATCAGAAGACGTTGTTTCTCCGCTGACAATAATGTACATAAAAATCTATAAATACTGCTTGATTTCCTTAATAAACAATCTGTTGCCTGGCTTTTGTCTTCTATAGTTACAAAATTACAGGGAGAACTAAAAATAATAGCTAGTTAGCTCATGTAAGTAACGGTGTACAGGCCGACCATTTTATCAGCAGAATAGAATTCGACTTTTCGGATCATTTTGAGCGAACAGCATGCTTTACAGTAAATATTCCCTAGGTAACATATAAATAACCACGTTTGTTGAGAATCCATCTATAAAGACATATACATCACACATTGTTTCATTAGATCTCAGACTACATAAAAAAGTATCAAGAGAAGAAATGTTTTCAAGTATTGGTTTTGTAGGGCTCCTGTTTGATTGGCTGGAGGATTTCATCATGAGCTGACGTCAGTTACAGAACCACTGGAGAACCTCGGAGTACTGGATAGCTATTTCATCCTAGTTTGGGACTATTCATCAGTACGCATCCACTGGGTTTTGAATCCAGGACCCTGTGGCTTAATCGTCTACGAGCTTGCCTTGTAACCAGAAGGTCCTGGGTTCAAACCTCGGCTGTGGGTATGCATTGCTGAAGAGTCCCAAACTAGGAAAACGGAGACAGGTGTCCAGTACTCCTTGCAAGGTTTCCAGTGGTTATCTAACTTATGTCATCCCAAGAAAAAAAATACTCTTTCCCACTTAGCCCATAGTAAACATTTATTTGTATTTTATTTATTGTTTTTTTTAAAGTCCTCCCGGAGAAGAAAAGAAGAAAAAAAAAAAAAAAAAAAGGGAGGGAAAAAAAAAAAAAAAAAAAAAAATAGGATTTATTCCCGGCCACTCACTCGTTTTTTTTTCTTTTTTCCCCGGGGGGGGGGCCCCTTTTTTTTTTTTCCTACCCCCCTTTTTTCAGAAAACAAATTTTTTTCCGCCCAAAAAAGGGGGGGGGCCCCCCCCCGAAAAAAAATTTTGTGCTGGGGTCATAAAAGAGCGCTCCTCCTCATTTTTATTAGTTATCTTATCATTGCTGGGGGGCGCACAATTGGTCTGGATTTTCTGAATTTTATCAAAACACCTAAAAAAAAAAAAAAGACACCTCCCCCCCCTGTGAGATTATTATTTTTTTCTTTCCACCCAACCTAAAAAAAAAATGGGGATTTTGGGGGGAAAAAACCCCCTCCACCCGCTTTTTTTTCCCCCCCTTTTCAATTTATTTAACCTTTTAGAATTCTCCCTTTTGGGAATCCCCCGGTTTTTCCCCCCTCTTAAGCCCCCAACGTCCCCCCTTTTTTTGTTCTGGGGGGATCCGGGGGGTTGGGGGGGGGGGGGGGAAAAAACCCCATTTTTCTTTATTATTTTTTTGTTTATTTTTTTCCCCCCCCTTCCGAAAGTTGCTGGGTTCCTCCAATTCCTTTTGTTTTCCCCCCTGCTGGTTTTATTCTTTTTTTCCCTTATGGCCCGAATTTTGGGGGGGGCGTGTTTTTCCTTGGTTTCTTTTTTTTTTGCGTTTTTTCATTGGGAAATTTTTTTTTTCAAGTTTTTTTTCGGGGGGGGTTTTCCTTTCCCTACCCGGGCGGTTCAGGGAACCCCCCCCCCCATTTGTGTTTTTTTCGTGGTTTAGGGGGCAAAAATCTCTCCCTTTTTGAAGTTAGTGCTTACAAGAAACAAATGATTATCAGAGCAGAACTGTAGGAGACGGTCACCGTTGTCGGTTCGCTGGCACGGAACTCCATAGGTGCCACCGACATCCTTCTCAGATTGACACAATTTCCCTACTTGAGCGTTAAAGTCACCAGCTAGAACGACTATGTCTGAGCGTTTAGCCTTTCCACCAAACTAGACAGCTTTTGGTAGAACTCATCCTTCGTTTCATCTGAACTGCAGTCAGTGGGGGCGTAGGCGGAGATTACGAAAAGGCATCGGCGAGTAGTGCAGTCCTTCCTCCTTCTTACTGATCCGTTCAGGCGGACAGCACACATTCGGCTATCTACCGGGATCCAGTCAAGCAATGTCTTTTCTGCCCTAGTACTCAAAGCTATCCCTACGCCAGCTAATCCTCGTGAACTAGCTGTGGCATCTCCTGACACCCTCAGGTGAATTTTGCAGATTCAACCTGTTGGCCAGGTGGGGTTAGGTGAATAACCACACTTGGGTCTTGTATGCGTGTTTCTGAAACAGCATACATCAGTGGCTCGTGATGCCAGTTCTGGGTGAAATATAAAACTTCAGCCTTGTAAGTTTCAGTGGTAGTTATTTTGCTTTTCTGGCATGGGATTGCTATCCTCGTACACTACAAGTTAGTAAACTAAGGTCTAAGAGTAAGTCAGTCAGGAATCGAGCCCTGAACCGTATGCATAGTTGGTGAGCGAATCGATATACATGAATATATATATATATATATATGAATTTTTATTACTCGATGAAAATGTGAGATACTAGTGCACTTTTTCTGCTTACACATGTCAATAGCAACAACTGGTAACTGAGATCTTTTTTCTTTTTGAAAGGTTTTTCATTCTGCTATCAAGCATGATGATGAGGTCTGGCAAGAACCAACGGCTGGCAACATTTATTGATATGGCTCAAAACCGTTCCCAGTGACGCAGATGCATCCACTCCTTGTGATTTATAATATTCAATAAAACTATATTGTTCTTTGATATTACTATTCTTTTTGACTCATATCTCTGTTTGTTGTCTCTGTTTACCCACTTCTCTTGCTTCGTGTGCCACATAGAGTGTAGGAACTCGAACTGCTGCACATCTGTGCAAAGTCCTACATTGAAACCAGTCAGTCAGTTTTAGGTGTACCTGTGTCACCTTAAAATGATCTATCATCAAAAGAAGATTTTACAAACAAATAGTATCTATTTTAGCAGTCAGTAGGATTAAACAACCTTGTAAAAGTTTAAGAATTTAGGAAGTTCGGTCAAAAATTTAAATGAAGACACTTATCAGTAACTAATAGTCGTCCCTAATAGTGCCAAGATTGCATGCCACAATATCCCTAACATAATATATATCACTTTCACCGAAGAACTTAGTGACGCGGGTTCAAATCTCAGAAAGGACATGAGTTCTTTCAAAGTTGCAGATACGCCTTGATGACTTGTGAGTGCCAACTGGCACGAAACCTAGGTTAGACTGGGCTTCCTGTCGATTGCCTCCAACTATGTAATAACAATGAAATGTCCGCTATTTTATTAACACGGTAACAAGTATTAGTTTTAAGCGAAATGGTTTGCTCTACGGACAGCTGTCATTACACAAAGTTTCACCCCTGTTTTTCTCTCCGTCTACCTGTTTACCTTTTTTCTCAGAAATAATGATCTTGATTAGTGTACTGTATAGTATTTTTCTTAATCTTCTGAATTTGCTGTGAGTAAATGAGAATAAACGATATCAATTTTCATAAAGCTTCAAATATATTTATTATTTTAAAAGCTATAAACATGTAGTACTATCCAATTTCTGACTGTGATTTATTCTGCATTGTTGCAACATTCATTCACCTAATAATGCGTCTTGAGTCGATTTATTTCCTGCATCAAAAGCTGCTCTGCTCAGCTTTAACAGACAATAACTGCAAATGGTAAGAAGTACGCACAAATTCAAACTAAATAACATCTTTGCCTATTGAGTAAAGATGACTGCCAGTGAATATAAATATGAGACACGAATAAGGTTTCAAGACAGACACCCGAAAGCAGTTAGTGGTTACGCATCAAAGCGGTTAGCTAGGAGAAAGGTACGACATATTCATAGGGTGATTAGGAACTAACTGTTTGAGTGATGAAGTGGAGTTGGTGTGCGAGCGAGCGTGAGAGAGAGAGAAGAAAAAAGCAATACAATTACCACATCTTGAAAGTCTTAGCAGATTTCATGACAGCTATACCTAACGCAACTGAACATTTATTACTAATTATGTCTCTTTCACAAATTACTACACCAATAATAAACGATGTCAGGTATTCATCACCTATGATGACCAAACAAGCTTCATAAAGTGAATTCAGAAGCTGACATTTTAAAAGTAGCATGTCTTGTAGACATTATAGGAAAAAAGAATAGCGCAGCACCCATAGATCAGATAAAAGCGTAAAGTTTTCTAAGCCAAAAGTATAGCAGTGTTAATTGTCTAAAAGAAAAAGTACTGTAGAAGTGTTGCTTATTTCAAAATATGTTTCAGTGTTGCTATTAAAACAAAATAAATTTCGCGTAAACTTCTTACAAATCAATGTTTACAGCTACCTTACATAACAGCGGAATAGGAATTTAGGTACACTAGACTAAGTCAAACAGAGTTACAACTCGAAGTAGAACAAGGTGAAAAAAACAAAAAAAAAAAACAACAACAAGAGAAATACGGGATAACAACTGAATAACAGATAATAGATGACTCGAAAACAGTAGATATTCTTTATTATGCCGAATAAGTTTTTCAGTTAGTCATTTCTGTCATGTTAGAGTATTTGCACAAAAGTTATCAGCTGTCAGACCTACATCAACCACTAACAGCTTTATGATTCAATCGAATTTCTCCATGGAATCTGTGTGACTTTTATCGTTAAAATAATCTGTGGTGCAGATTTATCAAACAGACGAATAACACTGCACAAATTCTTACACATGAACCCCAATTTGTCAATTCAGTTTGTCTGTCTGTACTCAACATAGAACTTTGCATCAGTTTAAGTCACCACACTCCATGTAGCACACAAAGCAAGAGGTGAAATGCTTAATAGAGACAGTAAACAGAGGTGTGAGACAAAGGAATAGTAATAAAGAAGAACAATATAGTTTCATTGGAAATAATAGGTCACAAGCAGTGAATGCATCTCTGTGCCAGCCGTCGAGAACAAGGATTTTGAGCCATATCACCAATTATTTCCAGCCATTGGTTTTTAGCGTCCCGAGGCCCCCAACCAGGAAGTCTACACCTTCCTACGTGGCTGACTTAAACTAACTGTTGTGGATTTCATTGACTGGTGAAACCATGTTTTGGTTTGACTACCGCTAGCTCTTTCCAGCCTGATCCTATGTCAGCTAACATTGCCCATCGAGGAAGGCAATGGATGACTAGGCATGCATGCGTAAAACATGTCCTAACCATCTCAGTGGATGTAACTCCATAGCCTCGGCTATTGATTTCCCCTCCTTACCTATCACTCGACCGATACCTAACCTCAATATTGCTCGCCTCCTTATACCACCTCACACGGGAGATAGAACGCGGGCACCTATGATCAAAGACAGCTAATCTTCTCATGTCCTCCACTCTCAATGGCCAGGTCTCACAGCCATACAGGAGGACGGAGCGGACTGTTGAGCAGTACACACGCCCTTTGGTCGATAACCAGCCGGATATCACGTCTACGAAAGAGACGGCCTAGAGCTGACACAAGTTACCAAAGAATATATATATATATATATATATAAATATATATATATAGGAATAGGTATAAATAGCCTCTAATTATTATTCGGCATCAACAACAAAATTCGGATTTTCAATACAAACGTCAAGTTAGTCAGCTCTTCTATACAGATCAGAAACGTGGCGGGCGGGTCACAAAGAGTATTTCCAACAACCTGTTGCAGACATTTATCAACAAATGTCTTCGCTGGCTCTATACTGAAGATCAGATGGCCGGAAAGAATCACCAACAAGGAACTATGGGAACAAACAAAGCAAGAACCAGTCGTCAACCAACAAATATGCAGGAGAAAGTGGAGATGGATCGGATACTCGCTGAGATCTCTGGGTGACATCGCGGGCGCGTCAGGCCATTGGTCGAGTGGAACCAGGCCGAAAGGGAAGCGGCGAGTGGGACGTCAGTGCAAGGGTGACATGGAGGAGATCGTGTGAAGAGGAGTTGAAAGAGTATGGACTAACATGGATGCAGGTGAAAAGCACAGCAGAAGACAGAAACAAGTGGAGACGTGCAGTTGGAGCCCTATGTTCCACTAGGAACCCAAGGGAGCAATAATAATATAATGATAATAATTACGAGGTACATAATGAAAAGTGAAGCACTCCCATACCATCCAGTGGACCTTCACACTTTCAAAGTAAGAATCAGATTTTCAGAATTCAAGAATATGAGTCAAAATGGTGAGTACTATTACTTCTAGCTACTGACAGTGAGTGATCTCAAACTTTCAATTCTACTTTAAAATAACCCATCTTCCTATCATCAATCTACCATCGATAAGAAAATACTGAATATAACCTTTATAACGCAATGAAGATACTAACTTAAATTGGCTTCTCGACAGTTGGTTTCAGTTTAACTGTAAAAATGCTTGCTCATTTGGAAAACAGAAGTACTTTAAATAATATGCATATTCCAAACCAAAATATTCAGCAATGTGTAATAACAAATACAAAGAATGTTTGCAGTACACATCAGTTCACGCGTATGTTACAAAAACACAACTGAGATCCTCAGCCTATAGTTTACAGCAAGTCATTAAAATAATATCAAACGTTTGCTTTATACTTCATGACTGTGTGTTAATACCGTCTTGCAGATTGCGTGGAGATAAGTTTTAACAACAAGTGGACATTACAACAAAACAACAGAAAAGTTAATCAGCGGTTAATTCAATATGAAGGCTAGTAGATAAAGTTACTAATCTAATCGTGTGAAAAAAGAAACACAACAACAACAACAGGATTACTATTAAATCAGTTCATCAGTTGATACACTTACTTTCTCAGAAACATGCACCTTCTTTGTTGTTAATAAATTGCTAGTGCTTGAGGCCACCATACGTGGAGGTAGTTTAGGAGGTGTGTTTGAATGTGAATTCATTTCATTTGTTGTAGACACAGCCGAATGTATATCATCTGGAGTTTGTACATTAGAAATTAATTCATCTCCTTTAACTAATAACTCCTTGGAAATATTTGATACAGGAGAAGAACTCATCACAGCTACAGGACTTGTTGTCTTTTTTGTTGAATGACCAGCTGGCCGGTTGTTCGGTTTACTCACAGTTGTATTTAAAGACTGAGGTCGACTTTATTAAATAAACGGTAAAAAAAGAAACTCATTAAAATCGATAATGGATATCTAAAATAAAAGAGTTTGTGTGTTAGCTACTGGATTTTACAAAAGTTAGTCTACAGTACAAAGCCACCATCTTTCATTAAATCAACACATCATCACTGGTTAGCTGAGGAAACAAGGGAATTAATAAGCGGACATGAAATATCCCACTTTAATACGACAGATGAAGACTCTAAATCAGGTTGGAAACTAGAATGAACAGCAGATATTGGCCGGCACGATCAACTGTCTGACTGACTGACTGACCAATCAGCGTAGAACTTTGCAAAGTCTGCACTAATTCGAGCTATAACACTTCCATGAAACAAATGAAAGTAGAGAGAAAAGAATGCAAGAAAACCATAATGGAAGAACACATGGAGTAGAGAGAATCATTTGATGAAGAATAGTGAGGGTTTTTCAGAATTTGGAAGATCACAAGTGGTGAATACATCTGACTTATTGAGGCCGATTTCAAGAAAAATCGACAGCAATAATCTTTAAACATTGGTTCTTCTAATGCCGAGAACCTTAGTCAAATAGTCTAAACATCCCTAATTCGATCAAAACAACAGCCAAAGACTTCATAAATCGATTCTACAAAAGGTGAAATTGTTTATCGAGGACAACAGCGGATATGCATGCATAACACTTGTCTTAGCCTTATCAGTTGATAAAATTTCACAATTCCATTGACTGATTTTGTTCCAAACATAATACTCCCACAGTATCCTTGTTATTACGGCATATATTGCTCCATTTAACAGGAAAGATAGAAAAAAGTTGTGTATGGTTAAAGCCACCAATCTTTCCACCTACAGTAACCATCCCCAAAGTAAGACGAAGATAACGGCTGCACATTGGTGGACAACGAAAGCGGGAGATATGGAAAAATGATAAGTTAAATAGTTACAGGACTTTGTCGTGAACTGACATCTGTTACAGAACCATCAGAAAACCAGCAGGGAGTATTGGAGTGCTGTCTCGCCCTAGTTTGGCACTTTGTACAGTAACCATCCACCACAGGAGCTCCACTCCAGGACCTGTCGGTTACAAGGCGACTTCGTAGGCTATTAATACACTGGGATTCGATCCAGTAGCCAGCCCATAACTTCCAACTTCTTCCGACTCACGATGTGATGTGACCGCTAGCCAGTGTCATCGGTGTGTGTCTTCAAATCATATCACTGAAAATCAACACACGAAGATCAGTAAATTATTTACTGTCCAAAGTATTTATGATGCATGAAGTGATCACGGGGGACAATGGAGTTTCAGTAACCTCCCAGGAGAGAGCAGTTCTATGTGAGGTAGTTAAATACGTCCACGATGTTGTAAAGATTAATGAACTAGAGTAACCAGAACATATGTCACGATTACCTGTCCATCATGTGCTACACAAAGTGTACTTTGTTATTATGTGATTGATTTCAGAAATGCGATTACTGACAGATTCCTATATTTCAATACACATACTACACACTATGTGAAGTTCTCTTTTAATTTCCATGATTTCTCTTTATTTACCCTTAATCACAGCCTTGACGTTTTGGTTAATGATTACCCTAATGACCCATTAACATGAAAGACTGGTTGCTTTGCTGAAAACTTACTACCACAAATCATATATTATATATTAACAAATGCTATTCAAACAATCCATTTACGAGGACCTTGTCGGGAAGTAAATGTTTATTCTCCTAATCGCTGTTTTTTTTTTAATGTTCACACTGAAATATCCCCTTCAGTGAAATATGCTACAGACGAAGTGAAATACGGGAAAAAAAGCAGAAAGTATTGAAATATTACGAATATTTGTCAGAAGTGCCTTTTTGTCATCCTCCAATTTAGTCCATTAAATTATTAGTGCTCATGATTTTTTTTTCCTTCAGAAAGTTTTAAAACAAAAGGAAATTAAATTTCCGTTGATAGATGGATATTGTTTTTCGGTGAACCTACCTCGCGGTCTCTTTTTTATGGTTTTGTGAAGGCAAATTAGAAGGGGTTCCAGTCGGGGCAGTTGATGAAATTATGTGGTCGGTTGACTTAACACGACTATTAGTTGTTGAAGCAACCTGATTCCGTGAATTCGATCGTGGAGGGAGAGGTGGAGGAAGTGGTGTACCTTTCTTGCTTGACTGTTCCAATTTACAACCTCCTGAAGGGCTAGATTTTGATTCGGAAGACAATAAGGATTCGTCTTTACTTTTTGTTTTTGGACTTTGTGAGACTGGTGTAGTTTGACGGTGAGAAATCTTTTCGGGTTGATGGAGGTATTTATCTTCTGAAAAACATAAAGATTTAGGTATAACATAAACGCAATAATTACCGATTATAGCCAGAGGAAGGCCAGTTTAAACTACATTGTACAGAACTGATCGTGTTTATTATGCATAGTCACTGCTACGCGTAAACTATACTTTAAGATTTACTGCATAACACTTACACGACGTAATTGTTTATTATTTTTATTCATTTTAGTTCCCAGTGGAATATATGGCTTCAAGCTAGAGCTTAGGAGCTTCGGTTGCTGTGGTGTTTCTCACGGGATCATGTTGCTAGCTTCAAGCTCAACCTTCCCTTTTTACCGGACTCATTACTGGCTAAGCAAGGCGAAGGTATGCGTCAGCCAGGGATCGAACTCCGGACCACATACATGGTCGACCAGTGTCCTACCACTAAGTCGGTGACACACTATACGACATAATAAAAATTCAGAATTTAACGTATTGAATGATTGTGTTTTAAAATCATACTTACCTTGAATATGCGTCTGAGGCTCACTGTATGTAGGTGTCTCCTGATTACTTGAAATTTGCTCACGTAATCCGTAGTTTGAAGGGGTTTGTGTTAATCCACTGTTTGGATTCGACGACAATGCGGTAGTTTGTGCGGGTATATTAGATCCACCACCAGACTGCCAAATTTCATTAAATGCACACGAATTACTTATAGGCATTCGAGGTCCTCGATTAATGGATGGGCTGGCACCGGGAAGAATTGCACTTGTTCCTAAACAAGCTGAATTTGAAGGAGAAAGTGCTGTGTGCGCCAGCGGATTATAGGAAATAGAGTTAGATAAGGTAGGTCCAGTAGGAAAGTAAGGAACTGGAACTGATACTAGTGGACCGTATATATTGCCTGACGGAGAAACCTGATGCATTTGAATTTGATTAGGGGTTAAATGTGATCCATAACGATGCAACATCTGGCCTGGAGATGGAAAAAGTGACTGGAACATAAAACTTCCAGCATCTTGTGCGCTATGACTGTGGGTAAGTCTATGCACGGATGAATTTCCATACATTCTGTCTGTTGTGGCATAGTTTGGCACAGCACTTCCTGGACTGTAAGGAACATGATGTCCAGACACAGCAAGTGTGTGGGGCGTTGGCATAGAACTACTTTGTGGTGACTCGACAATCCCATATGCACCTGAGTGGCAGACTGGTGAAGAAGCCGCACAGCCTGGGGAGGATGCGTTGGATGAACAATCAAAAAACTAAGGTAGAAAAAAAGAACATTACTTCATTTTAGAGTTGAAAGAAAAGAAACCGTTGAAACATCCAAACCGACTCAATCAAAACCTCTTTGGCTGTTTAAAAGAATGTATGCAAGAAGTCTAAAATTGTCAGTTCCGAAAAAAAACACTAAAAATTTGTGTGAAAGCGTTTTTCAAATAAGTCAGTAATTAATATGCCAATACATTTAAAGAAAAAAAGAGCTTAAAGCACTAGTCTACTATTTGACTGGCATATTGTCCACTAGTGTGATTTGAAAAATCAGTAGATGAAAAGCACACGAATATTACTGCTAGGCGAACTGTTGGGACAAATTCGAATGTAGATAATGATACGAAATGAATATATTCATCGCATTTCAACTGTTTCTTAAAGATGCTGTGCAGAACATGTAAACCTATATATATCTACACATCACACCAAAAAGCGTCAACACTTCACATGTAGAACAGAATTCGCTATGTGATAATGGCACAATAATACTTAGCTGAGGCATTTTTAAAGTGGTTACAATAGGAACATTTACGCTAAGCTCATAAAGTGAAATTAAAGTATTACAAATAGTATACTGATAGGGAAATACACACACCTCAAATACTGCAACCGGAGAAGCATATAACACCAGACAACGAGAAGTGAGATACTTAAATCAGTAAGGTACTCCCACTAATAGAGTTCACAGGTAAGGGAAAGTTGATGAGGAGTAGCCCTTATTTTATTGCAGAAGGAGGGAAACTTATACAGGTGACATACATCTGCTCTCTTTTCTAATAATACACTTAAAATCCAATAAAAACTCAAGATATAAGAATGGGATCATGTGCATATATGTATAATAGAAATATACAACCTCTATTACACCTCTGGTCTAGCACCACATATACAAATCCTTTTTAATTCAACAGGGCAGTTATATGTCGTCTTAGTTCGTACAGTCATGGATCACTTTATCATGTTCCGTTAACTTTATACTCCTTGTACATTTACTCTTTTTCGTTAGGTTCTACATACAAACACAAACAACACAAGAATCACTATCTTTAACTTTCCTGAGATACTTATGTAGGAGTTTTACTTCCGCTTAACTGGCAGTAAGTCCATAAGCTGGCTGTGGATAATGCATCCATAATCCACTCTTTATTCACTTTTTTATTGACTACAGTATCGCTTACTGAAGTTATTGAATTTCAATATTTAATTTTTACAATCCAACGTTACATCAAACACTTCTCAATGAACTCAAAGACCATCTGAGCTTAAATATGGTTGTTTATTTAGCTGACATGTAATTATATCGTAGAAAGAGAACAAATAAATTTTCCTAAAAAATCTCGTAAACTGCGAATGGAAATGAATTTTATGGAATGCATAACATAAAGGCGATAAACTAGCTGACAACTACAGGGGTTTTGAATACTTGGATTCTTTGCAAAATGGGAGCAATAAATTGCCACAATGATATTAGCGTCATAAGTGCAGTATCTTTACTGAAGTGGGAAAATCAGAAATTATAAGCAAAATGAAGCTTTACCTTACACAGCTTCCCTCAGCTGAAAGTTTGAAGGGATAAACAGAGGGCAGATACTGGTCGAGTTAAATATACTTGCAAAAATAATGAACCTATACTTACTTGTAATGAACTGAAATCAATTAATGTGGATAAAAAGCTGTATAAAATTTGCCTTGAGATTTATAAAAGGTCTGATAAGACTTTAAATCTCAGTGGTGTGTTGAATTCTGGCCTTATTAGCTGTCTGAATCAGAAGTATATAGAATAGCCCAAAATCTTTAGGATAGGAAAAAGCTTATATCTGTTAAAAACAATTTTTACAGATAACTTCATTATGGATAAGATTTTATTTTTATTAAATCACACAGTGTTGTACAGTTATATTAACTGATGACGTTTCGACCACAAACTATTGCTCATAATCATACTAAGTTCTTGATATGAGTTATACTCTGCCACAGTGCCCAAGTTTTATACTTATATCAAATTTTTTACAGATAACATATCTTATAAGTAAAATAAAATCTCTTAGTACACAGTACTTTTTTACTCCAGTTAGATGTAAAAAATTACAAATCACGACTATGAATGCAACGATTTTATTCATACACTCATATCACAAACATATTTCATTTGAGATATTCAACAATTATGCCGCAAATGATGTTTAAGAAACCGAATGTTTAACGTGATATTTAGGATTCTTGGATACTAGTTTAGTAAGGCCAAATATGTCAAAATTCTGGTAAGATTCACAGTGTTCCAGAAAACTGAGACCACAACAATCGACCAAAAGTCTGATTATTTCCACTACATTATCAACACACTGTGGATGGATGTAGGTGCTTTTCTTGTAAAACTTGATCTAATGACCACTTCGGTCTCTTCAGACTACTCACTCAAGTAAATTAATGAGTGAGTGAAGCATAAGACTTTCATTGGTATAAGGCAGGGATAACAACGCATACATCAGGAGGTATGTCTGCTACTAGAGTACTAAAAAGAGCAAGGAAAGTATACAGTTCAACCATAGGTAATAATTGATACATACAGAAGTTTGGTAAAACTGAAAATGACTTTTGGAAACAATAAAAGTGTCATTATCATTACTAAAGGCACAGCAGCAAACTTTGCAAGTCAGTCTATATGCATACGAATAAAAGAATAACATCTGTGTTGATGACAAACATAACAGCCAGTCTTAATAAAAAGGCAAATTTTTATTGATGAAAGACAAATACTTTAGTGGAATCCCTCTTTCAATGGGAAGGCAAAATATGTTTCGGATGAAGAAAACAGGAAAACAGATAGGTAAGTTAAAAGATGTAACTTTAAACGACAATAAAAGGTCTTCAGATCTACAAAGTGATAAAAAGGTTACTATGACTTAACATTTGAATATGAAGGAGCGAAAACACTAAACCAGAGTCAGTAAGCAGAACGGTCTCTTGCATCCCCAAATTCGTGAAATAGTTGGTGTCCTTCAAAAGTAGCTAGAATGGTAAACATAAACAGGTGACAGTACGTATTCTCAAACTCGAATTCATATTTTTTCCCAAAAATTACCCTGCAGAATCCTGAAACTCGTACTAGTAAGTATTTATTTTTATTTTATTCCCCTACATTTTTATTCGGACATAGGGCTTCACTCTAGAGCTTTGCAGTTTTGGTAGCAGTGGTTATTTTCACGCGATGGGGTTCCTAGCCTCAAGCGCAACCTTTCCTTTTCATCGAACTTACTACTGGGCTTAACGAGGTAAAGGTATGCATCGGCCGGGGATCGAGTCCGGGACCACATGTGGGGTTGACATCCCTACTTCATTCAGATATATTTATTTTTGGTGTCACTCCTCCCAAATGCCGTTACATGAAGTTTCAGTGAGATGGAATAACGAAATGTTTCTCAATAAAACGTCAATGTTTCTTTTGAAAATTGCAAACACGCTTATAAACGTCTATAGGTTAAATTGTCCATCAGTGCTTAAAAAGTAATCTCTCGTTTCTAGACTAAATCTCTCAATATTAAAACCTGTTTGACTAAATTTTAAAAGCCTCAATGACAGTATGCCTCTGGCTTATAGGCCTTCAAGTTATACAGCATTAAAATGGTTTTTCATTGTTCTTTGTGATCCTAAATACACATAGATACCTGAAAAGCATAACAACCTAAGGAACGGTCACGCAACACTAACAAGATACCTTAATGCCGTATATTGTGCTTACTGAAAAACAACACCATAGTAACTGACATCATTACTTGGTAAAACGTGAATAACTGCAAAACGCTAATGAATGACTTCCTGCCACGCCCTCGAAAGATTCGAGTAAATGGTTATCAGCATCCCAATAAATCTAACTACGCCTCCTTATACAGGTGAAATCAACAGTCAGAAAGAGTGTGGATTGGTGCCATATTTCGACCTAACCATCTATGTCTCCCAATGCACTCCTATTTTAGCTAACGTTGCTTCTGAGGGAATGTGGAAATTCAACAAAAACAACTACTTTACTGCCGCATCCTCTGAGCATGATGCGTACACAACCATCGTTCCAAATCTGGCAGGACGAAACCATATACCAAAAATTTTCGAAATACTCCGTGTTAACAGTCTTCATAAGAAAGAATAGTTGCATGTGTGCCCTAAATCAATGAGATATACCAGCGATAGATTTGGAGAAGAGGTATATGCCTCGGAATCTGAAAGTACCAATAATAAACGATATTGTTCGTTAATAGATTCGTGAAAAATCTGGCAATATACTTGTCATTTCATAACTATTATTGCTATAAGAATGACTTAACAGCCCTACTCACCATTGAGCGTAAACCTAAGACAGAGATTGGAATTCTCAAAGTTTTTTAAACTCCTGCGAAAAATTAGAAGTAAATAAGTTAATTCAAAGCACCTTTTCTAAATATATAAGTGAATACGATTGTGAACTCTAATGGTGTTGTCATTACAGTTCGCCTTATTTTTCGAAAATATGACATATGTATATTTGGTTCATAATGTCAACTTAATATCTAGCATGATTTGTAAAAAAATAGACTATTTGTAGGTTAATACAAACAGTCCGAAATTAACTTATCGTTGTCACTTTCTAATCCATCAGCATCAGTTGAAAATAACGACTGAAATTCAATTCTTAGGTGTTATTATCGGCAAAAGAATATTCAAGTAAGTTAGAGGTGATGCTTCAAATAAACAAGGAAATATTGCAAAAAATACCAGAAATGACATTTGACTCCAGTAAGAATTTACATTGCCAAATTATGAAAGCATAATTCTTAATTTATTACAGACAGGAAAGGCCAGTACTACACAAATTTTAGTCCCTATACTTAGAAAAGATATTATATTGCAGACGCATTTCAACCGGGGACAAAAATATGCGGCTATTAATCCAAAATTTTGAACTTCGTAACAGATTTATCAAAATATACTGGCAACAAAGATTTAGATAACTTTAGCCTTACAAACATACACATGAAACTTACCGCTCCACACAATGTCGATTTAGGATAAACAGACAGATTCAAATGTGTTATTAAAGGACGCGGGTGACAGCAAGAAGGCTGGTTAGATATTAGGTCTATTTGACCATGCATCATCCCAACCTGCTTCTGAGCAACATTTTGCATATCATCATGAAAATCACAGGTGTATAAAGATCCGGGACAGGTCGCGGAACTCGAAAGCTGTCCCCGATAGATGATAGGTTTTACCCCATTTTGATGGCGCATAGCAGAGGACTCTGATGTTCGTGTGAAACCATACTGGTACATCACACACAGACCATTCCAACTAAGCGCGTATGAAACGAAATCGAAATCTAAAGGTCGACAGTACACCTTTTTTGAATTAAAAAAACACGAACTGTGCAACGTAATATTTATATGTATCTATTATTAAACAAATAGATATTCATAAATGATGTTTGACTTGAAAAAAGGTTTCACGTAAGACTATTTATAATTCTTTAATGGCGGAGAGAGTAAACCGACGTTTGCAGGTAAGTCAGCTGTGATTATTCAGCATACAATGGTTTTATTGAGTCGGATTAGAAAACGAGACATGAATGTGAGGCTGTGTTGTGTATAATGTAGGCCCACTTATTCTGTCTGAATCGGAAAATCGAATGCGCATTAATATACACTACTTTAGAGAAGATTAAGCTAAATATCTGTAACAATTTCTCCTCTTACATGCTTCTGTCTGATGAACGACTGTGAAAGAATGGCAGTTGTTCTAACTTTTCTACTTGCCGATTCGACCAAACACCTAGAAACTGCACTAAGTGCTTGTGTGGGTATTATGATAATGAAAAACAAGTGGCCTGCCATGTCTTAAGAGACTAGGGAGAAATTAGCATCCAGCTAGGAGAAAGTTCCTAGGGGTGGCACAATGTTTCTTCTCACTTTCGACATTTGACATGGTGTATGTACCCACCAAACCATTCTAATGAATGTCATATTGTAGACTTCACCAAACGCACAATTCGGAAATCCCTTTAGCTGAAATTTTCATCCCAGTGTGGGGTAGCTAGTGTGTCACAAAATGTGGATATTCTCCATTTTAAATATGAATAGCCCAGCAAATTATCAGCTGTATCACGCTATATAAATTTGCCACTTCGAGCAAACGGCGATTGTTTTAATCTGGGGCAGGAGTTAATTGCTATAGGGAAACTCCTTGACTCTTCGTAGTCTTGTTGATACTGGATCGGAACTTTAAGGTATGTAGTCGTTTAGTACATTGTATTCATCCCTGTTCTGCACAGTTCATCAGTCACGCAGTCTACGATATCGTTTATGTGTTTCGCGTCAGCAGCAAAGTGCGATACAAAATCATGCCACTGCACTTCACATACTGATTAACTTTCTGCAATTCGGCGGAGGACCATTAGCCGCTTTCTGTTAGAGACATAGTACCTTGACTCTGATGAAACAAGATAGGAAGGAAAGCTACTGGTCCTCGAGTTGTCTAAGCATTCTCCCGATGCCTTAACAGATGCATCTACCACTGATGCAAGAGGTTCAGCTGCATCATAATATCTAAAGGCTGTTTAGAGGCTGAAGGTATTGATTTCCATGGACAGTACGAAGTATACTAATGCAAGATCTAATAATCACAACCTCTATAGTATTCGTTCCGCCTAGACCAGGGGCAAATAAATACCTCTACGTCAGCAGGAGAATTTCGGCTTGACAGCAGTCACTTTCAACCTACCCATAGTGTGCATTTTGACTGACAGTTCACAAAACACTTGACAAATGGAACACTGAGACATGATGCCATAGATCTGGTTATATTAACATTTTTGGCATTTTACTGACCGAGTAATTTGTGAGTCATACCTAGCTAAACATGATTATTGGTATTCGTCTCTTGGATTCTGAGTGGAACGTATGGCTTCAACACCAGACCTTTATGCTTCTTTGCCCCTCGGTCTATTTTCGTTGGCCTCATGACCGATGA